TGTCCAAAGAGCCAGTGGGAGGGCGGGCACGGGAACTGCTGGAGGGCTTTGAGCAGCCACTGCCTGTGCAGGTAGAGCTGGGCAGCCTTGATCAGCAGCAGAACCAGGCTGAGCAGGGAAGCCACTTGCATGAGCCCAGACACACTGGCCAGGGGTCCGGAGGGGCTCGGCACAGAGGCATTCATGGTGCAGCAGCTCCTGTGTGGTGACTGTCCCTGACCACCCTGACCACCATGATCACATCAGTCCTCCGTTGGGCATAGGATTACTCTGCTTACCTGTAGAGAGGGTGATGGGTGAGGACAGAGCTCAGAGTTCAGCTGCCAGAAGTAATTAATTGGGGAGAATGACCCTCTGAAAACAGTGCTTTTTCAACTGTCAGTGGCAATCGCCCACTATCCCCTCTCCATAAGAGTCACAGATCATTCAGCGAACACCTTGTATGTGCCAAGCAGTATGCTGGGCCTGCAAACAGAAATAAGCGAAATAGATGTGACCCCTATTAAAAAATTCTCAGTGTGGTTTACCCATGTTCAGTTGGTGTGGTTGGTTTTATTATTATATATATTTTAACTGAGAAACAAATTACAGCAGTGTTTCCAGATGGGAATTTGATGCAGTTACAAATGACTGATCTCAGATAAGAATTAACAAGTTTGTCTTGCCCAATTTCTTGCAATTTCCCCCTTATTTGACAGACTTGCCTTCTTTATGACCAGTCTCTCAGATAAGCATTAACAAGTTTGTCTTTCCTATATTTCTTGCAATTTCCCACTTATGACAGGCTTTTCTTCTTCCTTTCAAGGAAAAGGGAGTTAAACAGCAGTTGTTGATAAAAGCAAGCTGGTGCCCACCTGTCTCCATGCAGGCCCCTTCCCTCTCCTCTTTGCAGACCCTTGCCTATCTCCCCATTTTTTCCCTATGGGGAGCCGTGCTACTCATGTCGTCTGACAAAAGTCCGGGCATGGGGCAGATTTCTGAAAAATCAGGAATCTCATTAGCTGACTCCAAGATTCGCCTCATTTGTTTATGGCTAGTTTCTACCATTGCTAAAATACGCATTTAAAAGTAAAACTGCAAATACTGATCAATCACTGAATAACCAAATTGATGACAAATGGCACTGCATGATACAAATATTACATTTTTCATAAAATTAGTAGTCCTCTGCCAAAAGGCAGCAATTCAACATTTGGCTTTACATTAACCAGTGAAATAACTTCTGGAAACAATAGGTTGTAAACATCTATCAGCCAAGTCCTTGATACAGAGATGTGGTCTCTTGAGGCAAGAGCTAATTGGAGAAAGAAATTCCTTTACTTTAAAGTTAAAGATAACAGTGGGGTGGCAGAGGCGAGCCATGCTCCAAGTATAAGAAGATTCCTGATAAACCAGGAGACGCCATAGTTGACTCCTGCTAAATTCTTCCTGTTTGTTTAGGGCTAATTCCCTAGGATGTGACAATTGGTATGATAGCTGTTAGAGTATGCATTCAAGAATAAGTCAACAGCAATTTGTGAATAGTTGAGCTAGTAATCACAGCAGCACAAGTAACGCACTCGGAAATGGTCAATGTTACAACTACTGATATGTCACATATTGACCATTTTTTTGAGGATCAAAGGCTATAACCATCTCCTGCTTTTGCCCCTGATATATTTGTAGTTCCTTAAAACAACAACCAGCAACCTTATGGAAGAAGAAATTGCCCTTTGATCTTATAGTTAAATACTAAAACTAGACTGACTAGATAAGTAGAGGAGTGAATAGGTAGAAAACTCTTTGTTTAGATTAGGAGACTTCCTCCCCTAATTGAGAGTTGGGGGCTAGGGAAGAGTCAGTGCGGCTTGCCTGGCATTAACGCCCTCCAGGCCTTTGGTTCCTTAATATCAAATCAATATTGGGCCTCCCCTGTGGCGCAGCGGTTGAGTGCTGGGTTGTGAAGCTGCCCGCAGCCTCTGCGGCGCCGGTTCGATCCCCGGCTGCTTCCCGGCCACCGGAGGAGGGTCCCACATGGCGCGTAGACCTCTCCTGCCGCCCGCTGCTCCCCTCAGCAGTGTACCTCCGTCCTTCTGCCTGCTCTGCTCCCTGCTCTGGCTCTGGTGAATTCTCTCACTCTCCCACGCTTCTGACTGTACCCAGTGCCTGCATAAATAAATAAAAATAAATCTTTAAAAAAAAATATCAAATCAATATTAAAACAATATACTATAGATGATGATTTCTATATAAAAGCCTTCTGTTTTTTATTTTAATCAATTAGTTATATGTTAGTCTAAACTTTATAGGTTAGTTAGAAATCATCTCTTTGTCTCCCTTCCCCCAGGTAATCTCCTGCCCTTTGTTTTCCTCTAGCCCATAGTTAATCGTTCACCATGGCAAACTTAGAAATGTTAGTTACAGGCACATAGGCTTTTTGCTAGTAATAAAATAACTGTTGGATTATTTAAAGTAAATAACTATTTTGAAAACATTTGTTTAGCAACTGTGCCTTCTTTAAGACAAAGAATAATAAATGTTACACCTCTGCCGGAAGGCAAACTGACCCTTGGCGGCTCCTAAAAAAGAACATGTGATGATTATTACCTTTCTACCTTATGCTTGTGTACTCACGATTTGCTTAGTATAAATAAAGGGCTGCTGAGACCCTCAGCAGGATGATGTCAGCACTCTGATCAAGTGTCTGCGTCTCCTCATTCCCCCTCCCCCTTCCCTTACCATTTTCTCTACAATTGCGCCAACGCCTTCCCATCCTTCAGGAACCCCTGACACCCAGACTGCTGCGGCTGGCTCGCAACATTTCCCCTTTGTATAAGTATCCCTGCACTCTGCCAAAGAGCAGGTGGTGGTCTTTCAGACACGAGTCTGCTGCCCTCCTCATTTGTTGACAAATTAAACCACTTTCCTTTTCCTCAAACTCTGTTTCCTTTTATTGGCTGGGGGAAACTGAGACAGACGTTCTATATCACTATCAACCTGGGCTCCTGTCCTACACAAAGAGCAGTTGCCCCGCTCCTCTCTTGCCCAATCTTCCCACATTTCTTGGTCACACTCAGATCTCCACCTTCCATCTCCTAGAACTCAGCAATAAGACTTCCCTTTCTTGGTATAGCACCCCCCTTTCACTGGGCTCTAGGATGGCAAAGAGACTTAGTACCCCTGTACTGTGCTCTCTGTGGGGGCCAGCACAACCCTTCTGCACTGCCTAATGGTCAGGACCTGCCAAAGCTCCTGTCCAGGATGCTCCCCTGTCACCCTCCTGCCCAACCCCTAGCCAAGCACTGAGAGACCCACTGCTGCCACTTTTCCAGGCAGGGACGAGCCTGCCCATTGACCTGGAGGCCAGCGGACTAGGTGGGGGTCCTAACAGTGCAGTTTCTTTAGTTTTGAGACAGTCTCGACCATTCCATTCATTTTGCTTAGCTTTATTTATTTATTTATTTATTGAGCCAGCTTTTCCTAATTAGATGCACAATGAGGAGATCTCCTTGAAGTCTTTTTTTTTTTTTTTTTTTGAGATGTTGGGTTCAGAGAGTGGGGTCCTTGGGTTAGCTCTGGGAAAAGTTTTACCAGTGCTCCCCATTCAGCGCCATCAGCGAGTGTGCCAGGCGAGTTTCTCCACAAGACAGAGATCTTAGTTATATCCAAAGAGCTTCCATATGATCCAGCAATTCCACTCCTAGGTATTTACCCAAAGGACACAGAAACAGTAATTCCAAAGGGCACCTGCACCCCTATGTTTATAGCAGCACTATTTACAATAGCTAATCTATGGAAGCAACCCAAATGCCCAAAAATAGATGACTGGATCAAGAAGATGTGGTACATATACACCATGGAATATTACTCAGCAATCAAAAAAGATAAACACATGCAGTTTGCAGCACCATGGATGGAGCTAGAAGGGATCATGCTCAGCGAAGTAAGTCAGAAAGAAAAAGAAAAATACCGGATGGTCTCACTCATAGCAGGAATTTAGAAAACCTAAATAAGAGACCAGGAAAGACTAATCAATACAAACTAATAATCAAAATCAACAAGCAACTATAAACTAGAGACACACTACAGGAGTGGTGGGGATTAGGGATCGGCGGGGAGAGGAAGAACTAGAGTCAAAATAAGGGGGGGTGTAATTATATAGGGAATATGACCAAAATGAAAATGCATACATCGTACAAAGATGAAAAATGATGTAAGAATTATATAAAATAAAATATTAAAAAAACAGTTTTCCCACCACCTTTTATTAAAGAGACTATCATTGTTTTTTTTAATTTTTAATATTTTATATAAGTTGAGCATACAAAGAAATACATGAGGCCTCATGAGATTGCTGATTGTGGAATGAATAATAAATAACATGTGAACAGGTGAAGTGTCAGATGTATGGAGGGGAAAGTGTGTAAATGGCCTGCTACTTTGCATTTCTTCCTAATTCAGTGTTCAGGATCCTCTATTGCTGTCTCCAAATAGAACATGGTGAGCATTTAGTAAACCCTAGCAAACACGTTGAGGGCCATTGTAAAACACAGCTTTTACAAACATCAGCCGCTGGACCTGCTACACCATCCTAGGAGTAATGGTCACACCACCCACGACCAGCCCCCAGGCCCCTGTGCCTTTTGATATCATTTTAGGGTGGGAAAGGTCTTTCTGCAAAGCTGTTAATTTATTTGTGGCCAAGAAGAAAAACAATCACCTCAGCCTTTGCACTATTTCAAAACCTAATTCAAACCTCTCTGCGACTGAAAATAGCCACAACTAAAGCATAACTAATCCCCCGGGCGGAGGGACGTGTCAGAAGAGGTCCTGAGCGAAGGTTTGCCTCGGTTGATCAAGGTTTTAGAAATCCGGGAACTCGCGCCAGCTAAGCCTGGGCTGCCCCTCCCACCGCCCTGCCCCTTCCCGGGGAAGTAGGGAACTTCGCGGAGGCCTGGGGGCGCGGTGGATCCTCCCTGAGCCTGGGGGGGTGGGATTCCCCAAGCTGGCCGGCACCCACAAGGGCCGACCGCCCGCGATCCGCAGCCGGAGCGATGGAGTCCTCCTGGCTGGAGACCCGCTGGGCGCGGCCCTTTTACCTGGCGTTCGTGTTCTGCCTGGCCCTGGCGCTGCTGCAGGCGATCAAGCTCTACCTGCGGAGGCAGCGGCTGCTGAGAGACCTGCGACCCTTCCCTGCGCCCCCGACCCACTGGTTCTATGGCCACCAGAAGGTAGATGGAAGGGAGGGCCTGAGGAAGATGCTGGAACCCCGCGTCCCTTGCAGCCCTCCCCCTGCTGAAACCTCGCCTGCCTCAGCATCTTTTCCTTAGGCTAGACTTGCTCTCTCGCTACTCTGCGGAGAAGGGGAAACGCCCTGGAAACACTGGAGGGGAAGCTTTGGGGGTTGGGAGGGCGCTGTTTAAAGAGACTGCATCTGGAAAATAAAGGGTGGTTAACTCAGGTCTGCCTCCACCTGCTCCACCAGTCTCCTGCATTTATGTACTGCATCTTTAAAAAGCCTTCCACATGCTTTTAAAAAAGAATTGGTATCCTATATACTTCTCGTTAATTGCAGGAGATATTAAAGTTGAACACAGAGACGATTAACTTCTGTACCTTCTGGCCTGTACCCCAGCTCTTGTATGCGTAAATAAATAAATCTCTTTTAAAAACACCCTAAAACTTCGTGATTTAAGCTGACAACTACCTATGTTGGTCATGATTCTGTTGGTCAGCATTTGAGCTGGTATAGGTATGAGGGCTCACGGATGTGACTGCTGTCAGCTGGTGGGTTAGGTAAAGGCTGTCTGTCACCTTGGGTGCCTTGGTCTGCCTCCATTTGGTGGATTATTCTTCCATCAGTTAGCTGGCCTTGGGTGTCGGGATTCCAAGAATAGCAAGAGGTCAAGCTTTAATGTGCCAGTATTTTCCTTCTAAGTCTCTGAGTCATATTTGCATTGACCAAAGCAAGTTGCGTGGCTAAACCCAAGGTCAGCATGGGATAACACTCTCAAAGGGTATAAATGCAGAGAAGCATTAAGTTGAGACCATTTCTGCAGTCAGTTTAGCACATTTCTCCTTATTATAAATCCTGATCTTATTTCATAAAATGCTCTAATGTTTCTAAAGTATTAATAGCATTTTTTTCATTTGTGTATTAGTTTTGTATTGCTAGCTAATAAATTACCCCGGCAAGTTAAAACAATAAACAGTTATTATCTCACTCTGTCTGTGAGGGTCAATAATTTGAAAATGGCATTAATTATCAAGGTGATTCTGACTCAGGGTTTTATACAAGGTTGCATGAGGTTGTCTGGGGTGACAGTCACCTCAAGACTCCACTGGGACTAGGGAACCCACTTTCAAGCTCACATGGTTGTTGACATGTCTCAGTTCCTCAATCCTTCATGACCAGAGGTTTTCTTCTTCCCACATGGACCTCTCCATAGGGCTGCTCATAAGTAGGGTAACCAGCTCTACCCAGGTTGCCTGGTTGTCTGCTGGTTTTATTTCCGAAAGTCTTGCATCCTGGAACTCTTTCAGTCCCAGGTAAGTCGGAAGAGTTAGTCACCCTACTCTCCACATGGCAGTTGGCTTCATAGTGACAAGAGAGAGAGAATCTAAGGTGAAAACTGCAATCTTATAACCTAATCTTGGGACTTTTATATGGTCACATCTGCTATATAAATGAAATATACTGAAAAGTCCTTGTCCAATGTGGGAGGAGACTATATTAAGGAAGTGGGGGTTCTTGGAGGTGGTTTTGAAGACTGGCTACCACGGTTTGTTTGGCTTTGTTGTTTGTGTTTAAGGCTGCCCGCAAACAGTAGATGGTGTTTGGCTGTCATTTCATCTGCTCTGGTGAGGCACTCCAAATGTTTTATTTATTTATTTATTTATGCATACAAGAGCTCTGGGTGCAGGGATTAAGAGAGTTCACCAGAGACAGAGTGGGGAATAGAACAGGCAGACTGACTGAATTACACTGCTGAGAGGAGCAGCCAGCAAGTCTGGAGAGGTCTGCTGCGCCATGTTGGTCACCTCCCTGGTCAGGGAGCAAACTCATGCTGCAGAGGCTGTGGATAGCTTCATAGAGCTGAGTCTTAACCCCTTGTTCCACCAGGGAGCCCCCTGGCATAATGTTTTAAAGGATCATTCATGATCCTTTAAATACTTCATTCCTTCTAATTACTGAGTAACATTCAATTGTATGGATATACCAGATTTTGTTTATCCCTTATCAGTTGATGGGCAGTTAGGTTATTTGCAGTGTTTGGCTCTTTGAACATTTATAGACATGTTATTGTATGGGCATGTTTTTATTTCTCTTGGGAGAATTTCACCTGAAGTGGAATCGCTGGGTTAAACGGCAACTCTATGTTTAAGTTTTTTAGAAACTACCAGACTGTTTTATATTCTCACTGGTAGTGTATGAAGTTTCCAGTTTCTCCACTTCCTTACTAACTCTTGGTTTTGCCTTTCTTTTTTCAAGTATATAACATTAAAATTTGATATCTGTGCACACTACAGTGTGTTTACCATCAAAAGTCTCCATACACCCCTCTTTGTCCATTTCTCCAACTCCCCCAATCCTTCCCCTCTTGTAACCACAAGTCTGTTCTCTGTAACTATAAGTTTGTTTTGTTTGTTCATTTTTTTAATATTCCATGTGAGTAAAATCATGGTATTTGTCATTATCCATTTGACTTTATTTAACTTAGCATAACACCATCAAACCTCATCTATATTGTCATAAATGGCAAGATTTCATTGTTTTTTGACAGCAATATTATATATATATATATATTATATATATATATATATATAATATATATATATATATATATATATACCACTGGTTCTTCATCCATTCATCTGTCCATCAACACATAGGTGGTGTCCTGTCTTGACCTGTGTAAATAATGCTGAGATGAATATAAGGGTTGAGATTAGTGTTTTCATATTCTTTGGATAAATACCCAGAACTGTGGTAGCTGAATCATCAGGTAGTTCTAATCTTAATCTTTTGAGGCATCTCCATACTGTTTTTTATCATGGTTGCACCAATTTATTTTCCTACCAAAAGATGTTACTAGTGCTCTTTTACTTAGGAAATGACAAGGTTGCAAGGGTTTTAGGAACTCTGCGTGTAATCTCATAGCACCTTTATCAAAAATCTGTTGATTTTAAACATGAAGGTTTATTTATTTCTGGATTCTCCAATATATTGCATTGAGCTACATGTTGACCCTTATATCAATGCTACACTTTCTTTATTGCAGTTACTTCAAGATGGTAAAATGGAGAAGTTTGAGGAGTTTGTTGCAGACTACCCTTGTGCCTTTCCTTGCTGGATTGGGCCCTTCCAGGCATTTTTCTATATCTATGACCCGGACTATGCCAAGATATTTCTGAATAGAACAGGTAAGAAAAGGGATGAATCTCAGGAACCAGATCCCATAGGGTGATACGTACGATCCCAAGGCAGGAATTCTGAAGCAAAGATTAGTATTGGGCCTTTAAGAGACACTGGAGAAAATGTGGGGTGGTTCCTGCCAGTCTTGATGGAATTCCTGGTGGCCCCAGCCTCTTGTTTAGGTCAGTCTCCCCTGCGCTCTTTCAAGTCAGTGCATTGGCACCTCCAGCTGACCAGAGGCTTCTCCTGCCTCTCTTGGTTTTGAAACTTCAGTGTCTGCTCCAGATCCTACTCCTGTGCCTTTCCTGAGCATAAGTCTTCAGGGAAGTTCAAAAGTAGCTCTGGCTCTGTTGGTTCAATATATAAACTGTTACGCAGGCCCACTAACTTGCCAGTCTCACCTGGTTGTGGTCCACATCTTGTGTTTGTCTTCTGTGTATTTATCAGCTCTGTTCCCTTTTGGGGCCCAAGTTATTTTGGGGCCCAACTCCCCCATCCAATCCTTTTTCAAGGATTCCATGGTGAATTACTTCATAACACAAAATGAAACTATCTAGTTTTTCCTCCATCGACTTTGTAAATTGAAGTCTGATAGTCCAATCTTCCTTTCTTCCCTGTGTCATTGTCTCCATCACTTTCAGTAAAACCTAATAAAACAGGCTTTTCCTGAAAGTCTTCATGTTTCCCAGCACCCTCAACCCTGACCTTTACATGCTCACCTCAAAGGACAGAGCCGTAAAGCACCCCATCAGGTTGATGAGCACCCCTCTGCCTCCGCTGATTTGTACCTCACTCTTTGGTGTCTGCTGGCCTCTGCTCTGAGAGCTCATTGCCAACAAGATGAAAGGATATAACCAGTTGTCCCAACTCCCATTTGGAAACTTTGTAACCCTCAGGCCATCTCCATTTCTGTTGGAGGAAGTATACACAAGGGAGGAATCTGCCAGCTAACCTCATGGCTGTTCTCTGGTTCCTGAACCACGACCTGAGGTTTCCTTGGGGCCTGCCAATGACTGCAGGGAGTGAGTCCTGGGCTCCCTTTTATTTGCCATTTTTGGTTAGTGTAGGAAATGGTGAGAACCTTACCCAACTTGGATAATTTTCCTCTGATGCTGTCTTTTGTTTCTTCTGTTTGGTTCTGCAGATCCCCAGTCCATGCACCTGCACAAGTTCTCGATGCCTTGTGTTGGTATGTATGGGTGAGAGGAGGGATCCACTCTCCATGCTAGACCATTCCAAAAAACCTCAAATCTGAATTCAAAACCATGGAGTGTGGTAGAATGTGGTAACTACAAGTTATTTTGGGGAAAGATCCAGAGCAAGCACTTAGGTAAACATAGCTCAGTTTAGGAGGAGCCCTCCTCGTCCATTTCTTTCCTCAAAGTCTTATTCTTAGGCCACCTATGTGTAAAGACATCTCTATCTTTAAAACTGTAGCCTCACCATCTGTATTTTTTATTATGCCCTTTCTCTCATTTTCTTTTAGCTTTTCCTTTCTTTTTTGAGTTCCTTTATGTAAAATTTTGCTCCAAGGTACAGTTTGGTATTACTCTCTGAGCAGATAAATTAAGCCTTTCAGTTATACAACAGATGTTTATGTTAGACAAGATAGGAATTAAATGAAAGGATCTAGGTTTTGGATTCAGAGCTACATTCATTTGAATCCTCCCCTCTAGTCCCACTAACTAGTTAAGTGTGCTCTTGGGGAAGTCATCTAATCTCTCTCAACCTCCATTTCCTCGTCTTTGAAAATGAGGCCCAGAGTCACATCTCTAGGAGTTATAATGGCCGGCATTATGCCAGTGCCCAGCATCACAAGCCCAGCAGGTTGTAGGCATCAGGGGATGAGGACATTTGCATATTAATAAGTGTAAGGTCCTTTAAGAGCTGATCTTTATGACATCCCTGGTCACAGAAGATTGTGAGGCATTAGCCTTGATCAGTGTTCCCATTTGCATCAGCTACAGGTGTGGAGCTAGGAGTTGAGAAGGGGCTATCTGGGAACAGAGTGAGTATTCTTGTCTAGTTCCTTGTCAATTTTTGAGTTGATGCTATAGTTTACACATGGTTTTGGAGTAGAGAGGAGATGAGTATTTGTTGTGTTTCTGTTACAGGGCAACCACGATGTAAAACGGGTTGCCTGACTGTGGGTCCTCATCTGCACGCTTAAAAGGGACTTATTATTACTAACTGCAGGCACACACAAAAGGTTAATAAAAGGTTTATTTACAAAAGAAAGGGAAAATGAAGAAATGAATAACTCAGGGAGAAAAAGAGGGAGATAAACTCATGAATGCGTCCTACCTATTCCGCCGACCTGGAATCCCAATGGCATGCTGAGAGCTGGCGACGACCCAAGAGCCATGAGGATAAGAGTGAGTCCCCCAAGGCTCACGTATCTGTTTTATACCAAACCTGGCAGCTTAACTCTGCCCTCAGGTCCCAGCAACCCTCCTTTTGGTGATGATGGGATTTGTAGTTCCCAGTGTCTTGATGGGTTTGGTCTGGAGTGGGGGTGCAGTCCACAAAGCCTGTATGGAATTAGCTCAGGACATCCTTTTCCCCTCACAATTCTACTGTGAGCTAGAGACCAGGCTCGTTATCTTGTGTCTATACCTTCATTTAATCTGCACAGTAACAAAGTGAAGTGGATATTTATCATTACCCTTTATCACTGAGAAACCAAACCTCAGGAAGGTTAAGTGACTTGCTCAGTTACCACACAGGTAATAACTGATGATTTTAGGATTAGATTCTTATCAGGCTTTAAAGCTTGATCTTGATCTTTCTCAGCAAGCTAAATATATGCACCCCAGATGTAAACATACGAGCACTAATCCAATACTCCACTATGTCGTGACTACCTGCGTGTGTTAGCTGTGTTACCGCCTTCCTCATATCATTTAATAAAATGGCATGAGGTTTTCTTCCTTTTATTTCTCAAGGAAAAGGACTGGTGAATCTAGATGGACCAAAGTGGTTCCAGCGCCGTCATCTGCTAACTCCCGGATTCAGTTTTAGCATCTTGAAGTCGTATGTTGAGGTGATGGCCCATTCTGTGAACATGATGCTGGTAAGTGAAGGCACAAAAGTGCTTTGGTATGTTGCAAAATGCTTCCAACAGAGAATACATTAGACATATGTTTGGTGGGTAGTGAAAAATCAAAGGTGGATGATTTCTAGAAATTAACCTACTGAGTAATAGGTATCTATGTAAGCCTTTGCTATGGTTCTCTGGGTGATTCAAAAAAAAAAAATAAATAGATGTAGATCTGCTTGTCTGTTTCAGATATATTTTGAGATCCTGTGACAGTAAGCCAGATACCAAGTAGTAAGATTCAAGATGTAAGTGCAAGGTGATGAGTGTGGAAACCAGAAGCAGCTGTAATAGCTTCAGATAGAGAAAACTCAAATTTATTATAAAATATGAGGTACACATGAATCTGTGGATGATATGAGTGAGTTAGTTTTGTGCAGAGTGAGTTAGCATGAACAGGGTCTGGAGATTGGAATGGACTTGCTTGATGGCTATTGTTGGGGCACAATCCAGGTGCTTCTGATATGTAATCTGAACCCAGCCTCCACATGCTGAGGGCAAGGAGAGCCTGGAAAAAGAAGCAAAGGCAAACTACTCCAGACGGGTCGGTAGCAGTTTCAATGAGCAAGGGAATTGACATGGCTTTCGCTTAGGTGGCCATAAGATGAGAGAGTTGTCCACCCCACCCAATCTCAGAAGTTTTATGAAGGCTTTAACTGTTCAGTCAGGTATGCAGTCCACTTAGTCTCAGCAGCACACGATATATTCCACATTTTCTCAAGGCTCTATCTTTGGAATGACTTGGGAATGCACATTCCAAGGGGTGAGGGATAAGAAGCCTTTCCAGGTCCAGCTCTTGGAGCTAACAAGTGGTCATACTCTTTTGCTTGCCTCCCCTAGCACTCCAGCCTCATGACCAGCTCTTCCAACCTCACACCCCACCCCGCCTTCTGCAGTGTGCCTGAGCTGTCAGAAAGGGGTTTCACTAGCATGGAGGTGGCTCATTTGGTGGCTGTCTGGCTGCACTGGAGGCAGATGCCACAGCAACAATATAGAGACATGCAAAAGAAAACAGGTTAAGATGATAATCCCTAAAAATCAGTAACAGCTTCTTCCACCAAAGACCTCATGATCTGAATCATTGACTTACTATCTCCCTTAGGCACACTAGCTGCTTCAGTATTCTATTTTTTCTTTCTACCAAACCCTGCTGCTTGTGGGTTCTAAGGGAGATGGAGCCTCCATTTATGTTCTTTTGCCCAGTCTTATACATTATGACCTTTAGGATGTGACCCCTCGATCACTGTCTCTTCAGTCAGGGCATCTCTTGGTGACAGTTAGCTTCTTTAATTCCCCTGTGGTGACAGTATGGTTTGCATGGTAAAAGGGGAAAGCTTGAACTAAGCCAATACAATCAATCTTCCTACCCCTTACAGGTTGGGGCTCTGGTGCATGGCCCCAGGCTCCTTAGGCAGTTCTCTTGGATGTTGTTTAGAACACACAGGACATGCTATCACTGCATTAACTACATGACTTTATCTCAAGAGCAAAAATCTTGCATCCTTGGCATATGCCACTGCTCCTGGGCACTGTGGTAGCCACTCTTCCTATGCCCCTGATCTGCTGTCCCTACTGAAGCCCCGGTTGCTAGGACTTGTTCCTGAAAAGGGCATCAGTTTCTCAGTTGCCAGGGAGCATAATTGCCTATGGAGACAACTCCTACAGGCAAATCCAGATGTCTCTCCACAAGCATGACTCATCATAGTTATCCCTCAGTATCTCATTGTTCGAACAATAGGATTAATCTCTGTAAACAGTCCAACTGTTTGTACAAAGGGTTAATGACCAGGCTTTTTTTTTTAAGCTTTATTTATTTTTATACAAGAGGTAGGGTACATGCCAGAGGCGCAGGAGGATGAGAGGATTCACCAGAGATAGAGCAGGAAGCAGAACAGGCAGACCACTGAAATACACTACTGAGGGGAGCAGCAGGACAGGAGAGGTCTGCTGCACCATGTGGGATTCTCTCCAGCCAGCCGGGATTGAACCCACACTGTAGAGCCTGTAGACAGCTTCACAGCCGTGCGCTCAACCCGCTGCACCACTGGGGAGGCCTCTTGTTTTTATTATTAAATTAATTAATTTAATTTCTTGCAGTACAGGCAGAGAGTCAGCTCCTTGCAGCTTCTTATGAATCTGAAATTTTTTTAAATGTTTCAAGTTTAGTTTAAGAGTTAACTATAGGTTATGGTGGTTGGAAGTAATGAAAAGGGACTAAATTTCAGGACTAAAGATGAATAAAGTCCTGGGAAACCCTTTATACATCAGGGATTGTATGTTTTATTGGAACTCTGATCTGATTTATTATGGAGTTATTGAGAAGACAAAGATACTTAGCCATTTACTGCTTCCAGCTGGTGCATTTGTTTTCCCTTCATGTGAAGTAAGCACTTGGCTTATTTACATATATGACCTTCAACTTCTTCTAGGTCAGAATTGTGTCCTTTATATCTTAAAGGCTCAGGGAGGAGCCTCCAATTTGATGATAGTGATGTTGTTGATCTTGCCCCTTTGTGCAGGATAAGTGGGAGAAGATGTGCAGCACTCAGGACACAGCTGTGGAGGTATCTGAGCACATCAGCTTGTTGACCCTGGACATACTCATGAAATGTGCTTTGAGCTGGGAGACCAACTGCCAGATAAACAGGTCAGTGACAGGAGGGCAAAAAAGAAGATACTATTTACCATTAAGTCATTTATTGACATAGCTCCCCCACTTTCTCTTCTAGTACCCAAGATTTGTATGTAAAAGCGATGGTTGAAGTCAGCAAAATCATCTTTAATGACTTGTATCGTTTCTTCCATCACCAAGACGTAATTTTCAAGTTCAGCCCCGAGGACCACCACTTACAGGAGATAAGCAACGCACTGCATCAGTGCACAGGTATTTCTTGGGTTCGAGTGGCCCAAGTCTATACACTCATCACTGTACTGTGTCTCCTAGAGCAATAGACCTCTATGTGAAAAGAGAAAGTTTTCTTGCTCTTTCCTGTAGCTTTTGTATGGACACTGCTTAAATGAAATACATTTACTATGTCCACAGTAGTAGTCCTGTCAGAGGTTTTCTGTATATTATCAAGTTTTTATCATGCACAATTATTATTTGTACAAACATACCAGAGTGGACATTTCAGATTTCAAAACATACATGGAATATGACTGTTGAGCAGTAATTCCAGAAAGCCAAAACATTCCTGTGACATTGGTGCCAGTAGGGAAACAGAGTAAACATGGACATAAATTCAAAAGGAGGAGGAAATGAGGAGTTGTTTAACAGGTTTAAAGTTTCAGTTATGCAAGAAGAGTAAGTTCAAGAGACCTGCTATATAGAATAGGGCGTACAACTAACAATGTTGTCTTGTACACTTAAAACTTTACTGAGGGTGTAGATCTTAGGGAAAGTGTTGTTATCACCATAAAAAAAATTAAAAATAAAAGAAATTGAGTTCAAAATAAAAGAAATTGAGTTCAAAAATAGCTTTAGCAAAACATAAACATGTAACTTGAGATAGATTAAGTTTTTAAGCAATTCAACATTACTGAACACCATATCAGAGAGTATTTATTAAGTAGTTAATTAATCCTTCCTCGGCTCTACCACTTCTTAGCAGTGCAAGTGACTTTGGGCAAGTCACTTGCTGCTTTGTGTCAGTGTCATCTGTAAAATGGGGAATAAAAAACCTATTTCATAGGTTTGTGGTGATGATTAAATATGTTAATATATATAAAGGGCTTAGGACTGCACCTGTACTGAATAAGTGCAAACTTGCCCCCAGGATATTAACAAGACATCCAGAATGCACACTCACATACATATATACATGCATGAACATAGGTAATGCACCTACGTCTGCATTACCTATGCCTTAATTATATTGCCTCTCTAGTTATAAAGTGTGTTTTTGGTCTTTTGTGTTTGTCATCGGAGCTTTGAGCAAAGTTAGGCATCTGATGGGAAAATAAACATCTGCAAAAATTCAATGTGCTTGATAGAATGTACCCATTCTGACCTCAGGAAACTGGGCAAAATTTGATATTATCTGTGGGCTATGGCTTATTCTGTAATTCTGTAATTTGTATTATTTTGATTGACTTGGCTGTCGCTTGGTAATGGGGAATTATTATTCCACCTCAGAAAAAGTAATTCAGGATAGAAAGAAGTCCCTCGAGGATGAGGAGGAGCAGGATAATGCTCAGAAGAGAAATTACCAGGATTTTCTGGACTTCCTCCTTTCTGCCCAGGTAGATGTCTCAAATTTTTTTTTTTTAAAGATTTATTTATTTATTTATACACGCACTGGGTACAGTCAGAAGCGCGGGAGGGTGAGAGAATTCACCAGAGGCAGAGCGGGGAGCAGAGCAGGCAGAAGGACCGAGGTACACTGCTGAGGGGAGCAGCGGGCGGCAGGAGAGGTCTGCGCGCCATGTGGGACCCTCCTCCGGTGGCCGGGAGCAGCCGGGGATTGAACCAGCGCTGCAGAGGCTGTGGGCAGCTTCCCAACCCAGCGCTCAACCGCTGCGCCACCGGGGAGGCCCCAATGTCTCAAATTTTTGAGCCTGTTCATTTATCTAGATAATTATGTGGATGAGCGTTGAGAAGGGGAGGCAAAAGCAAAGTAGGTCAGCTAAATTTAATCAGTGTTGAACTGAAGGGTTGCCTCCATGCAGTTTGAGGTAAAGATGGAATTCTGCAACTCTCATTAAAGGGAGTCTGTAAGACTAATTTTTCACTGATTTAACAGGATTTGGTGATTATCATAAAGATAATTTATAACCATTATTGGGTTCATGGAAACACAAGAAAATGGGTCGCCAAGAAAGCTGGTAAAATGCTGAGAAAGAGGTGCTAGAAAATCTCATAGGATATTTGCAGGGATTCTTGCAAGGCCTGTTCCCTATTTTAGCCTTTCTTCTTCATACTCTGGGCAAGTGTGGTTCATCTATATAGTCTTTGAACTGCATTAAAATTGGAATTCTCCTGTGAAACTCTAATTCTTCCCTAAAAATTATTTGATTGTGGTCCCAATCATCTACAAACTGACATTGCATAAAAATGTCTCTACTGTACTTTCTAGGCTGAAAGTGGTGATAGCTTCTCAGATTCTGACCTGCAGTCCGAGGTGAACACGTTCGTGTTAGCAGGACACAACAGTTCGGCCGGGGCCATCTCCTGCCTGCTCTACCACCTGGCTCTGCACCCTGAGCATCAGGAGAGATGCCGGGAAGAGATCAGGGCCATCCTGGGGGATGGGGCTTCCATCACCTGGTGAGATCTGAATCCCAAAACATTTTGTCTTCTTTCTCCTGGTATTTTGCTCTCTTTGTTCCCTGGTACCTTGGTGACTATGGTGCTTCAAGACGTGTGTATGTGGAAGCTAAGGAGGCAGGCTACTATTCTGCTCTTTTTCTCAAGGGCCTAAAATTATCTCTTTGGCAAAAGAAGTTCACTCATACATCTGTTTCACTGTTTTCCTAATGAGTGGTATGCAAAGTGTCCTATTTCTTTCTTTCACCAAGTCTCTGGTGCATGGGAGATGGGGATTTGATCCTGAATTTGCATTTAGAGCTTGAGTGATAGGGCTCAAATGGGGCTCCTCTTCTGAGAGGCTGCTTGAGCCTCTGTGTTATGTAGCCCTCATTGGAGACATCGTCATCGATGCTTTTGTCACAAATTTCACTCCTTGGAGTTAGCTTTGGACTTTGAACATCGTACTAAATGATACACACTTAACTAAGTTAATGAACATGGACTGAGGACATTATTAGTACTGAGACAGTAAAACAAAGTGCCGGATTTGGTATGAGTCCTGCCTCTAATGAACTCACACTCTAGTACAGGAGACCGAGTGCCCAGTGAGCCCCTACAGATAACTGCAGTATAAGATGGGAAGGGTGACAAGAGGGCTTCCATGAGCACTTAGAAATCAGACACCTACCCTGGTGTTTCCCTTCCAGAGGGACTTTCTGAGAAAACTGACACTTACCCTGACAATTAATTTGCCAGGTGGAAACCTCAACCCCATTTTGCTAGACTTTGAGCACATCTTGAAGTTAATGAAGCGCAGGTTGTGGATTTGCCCTTCAGATATACTGTTTGCAAAGAAAACATAGATCCCTGGCATACGCTGCTCTTTCCCCCGACGAGATATTTCCCATGGCGTTGCTTTGCTGATTAAAGGGGCAGAAAGAGAAGTGCTAAGGGCAGTCCAGCCTCATGACTAGAGGAAAACACCATATTTGAGATGGAAATTGAAGCAGCTCTAATTTGTTCATTTAGAACATTTGTAAAGGAAAATTTGAATTTACATGTAGTAGAAATCTCACTTTTTATAAGTAAAATAGTCATTTCCCTACCAGAAAGTCCTAATCTCTATAGCAGAAAGGCAGTGCTGGTGATTTTTTATTCATTTGCTGAATTGGAAATATTTTATACCACCTCCTGACATGAACTAAATATTTCAACCTTGATTCAGATAGATACACATATAACTCAAATATTAACCTTTCTTTCTCTTTCTCTCTCTCTGTTCTCTCTCTCTCTCTCTCTCTCTCTCTCTCTCTCTCTCTCTCTGTCTTTTGGCCTATATGAAATGTGAAAACAAAGAAAATCTTTACCAGGTGAGAAAGCAAAGTCCAGAGGATCTTTTAACAATCATTTATTTTAATAAGATAAATTACAATATTACTACAGAAACTCAAATATATTTGTATACTACAATATAGCCTAATAGTTACTTTAATGAAATTTACACATAGCATTCTGGGAATTTATAATTCTTTTAGATAGATAATAAAACCACACTGCAAAGAGCATTTTCTAGAAAAACTGGAAAGTTTTCCAGTGTTACCACTTGGCTCCTTATCAGCCTATTTCTGCATTTGATTAAAATTATTCTTTTCCTTTTATACCAGGGCTGGCATTGTTTTTCTTAAATATGCAAAGTGCCAAGCCGAGCAGAATTATTCTTTCTATACTGGGTTTGAGCAGGAAACAGTGCAAAAGTAAAATTTCATTTTACCAAATAGCCAACACCTGCATTCAAAATAATAATCAGAAGAGAAAACAGAAATATAATAAAGCAAATAGACTAAGATATGCAGTCAGTTTATATCTAGAATACAAATAAACTCTTCTCCTGCTACTTCAAACTTACTCTAATGGACAAATTCTCTTCATCTTTGGACTGAACTCTTAAGTAAATCTCATAGAGTCCCCATCCATTTCAATCACAAGAATAATCTCGTTTGTGCAATTAAACTGTCAGCTCCAGTATAATAATAAGAACATCAAATAAATCTTGTCCTCTTGAAACATCTCCCTCCATCACAGCTCAATAACTCTTTGGGTCTGGAAGCCAGTGGTGGGTGAGAAGGTTGTGTTTGGCTGCATATTGACCTGCTCCTCCCTTACCCAGTAGCTGCTGTTTCTGATCCTTCCAGAACTGTTCCCCAGAGGAAGTAAAGAAGAAAGGGGCAGATTTGCAAATCTGATCTTGCTTATGAGCTTGGCTATTGAGTGCCTCCTTTTACTCTCACAGAGTGCATTCTGTGGTCTTCTTGGAGATTCCCTCACTGGTGATTCATGGGGGAGGGCAATTTTTGGTCTTAATGAGAGTTCCTTTCAGGCGGGTTCTGGAGAGCTCCCTCTTCCTGGTTCACTGGCCCACAGGACACACTTGGACATTCTTGCCTTGTACGTGTTGCTGAGTCACAACCTCTCCTATCCATCCTGTGTTCCCCAAATTCGAGGGGGCACGTGTCAGATCATCCCAGTGGTCCTCTGAAGCCCCCTTTTACTTAAGATGTGGGGGTGCCCTCCTCCATTCTCCATGGTACCCCACATTCCTACACTTCTCTCTTAAGGATTATTTTTTTTTCCTCTCAAAACTCTTAAACCTCCTCTCTTCAGTCCTTAGCCTTTCCTTATAATACACTCGATTTATATCATTAGCTAAATGTAGCAAAACCGGTTTTCAGAAACCTCCTGAACAACCTTTACAAGTAGTAGAACATCCCACGGTATGAGGATATTTATACTTGTTTGGTCCCTTTTCTTATGGGACCTCAGCTGATCCGGAGGCAGTTGGAGTCCCATTACAACATTCTCTGACCTAAGCCAGTTGGCAAAAAGCTTAACCTGATGCTGATATTTCCTGGGAACAAACATCAAATGGGAAAAATACATCAACAATTACAGACTAGCTATGGAATCTCACTTCCCTTCTCTGCCCCGCTTGGTCTCACAGGGAACAGCTGAGTGAGATGTCTTACACCACAATGTGCATCAAGGAGTCGCTCCGATTGGCCCCTCCCATCCCATCCGTTTCCAGAGAACTCAGCAAGCCCATGACCTTCCCTGATGGACGCTCCTTGCCTGCAGGTCTTTGCAATCTTTTCCTAACCAGTTCCTATAGCCTGGGATCCTGGGAACCACAGTGACAAAGACTGGCAGGCTTCTCATCTCTTGGAGAATTAAGAAGACAATCTTAAGGATTGTGCAGCTATTCAGAGCTCGGTAGCAATGAGCAGAATCAGATGTGGATTTCAGAGACTTTCCCAAAGGCCCATAACCATTTGAGCAAAGCTATGCCCAGAACCCATGTCTCCAGAATCCTAACCCAGGGTTTCTTCTACTGTAGGACATTCTTGCTAAGATAATCCTTGTTTGGCTGGTTTTGAGCCCCACATGAGACATCATGCGAGATAAACACCATTCTCTAGAAGACCCAAAAGGGGTCTTTGGCTTCATCATTGTTGTAGCACCCTGAAAAATATACAAATATACTGAATAGCTTATGTAGAGCCTCCAAACACATTATCTCATATTTTAAAACTGTGGAACATGATCTTAGCAGACACTTAAATGGTGCTTTCCAGTTTAAAAAGCATTCTCCAATGCTTGTGGTATAACCAGAAACCCACTGTGAACCCAAATGTGCAGTGAGCAGAGCTGGAACTTGCACAGAGGTCCTGCAGCTGGAACCCAGTGTCCTGTAGAACAGCACAGTGTTTTCAGCAGGGGAAGAAGGAGACAGAGGGATCACAGGAGACACCTTCCTTTTCTGCTTGGGTGTTCGGTTAACCCTTGGAACTAGCTAACACCCTCGGAACTAGCTAACAGGGTTACTTGCAGCAAACACCAGCAGCTTATCACTTCCTGTGATTTTGTTAACAGATCCAGAATTAATTTCCCAGAATTATTTCTGGTAACCGAATATTCTTCTAATTCTCCTCTCTTTTTTTTAATTACCAAAGCTCATGGATATTTGCCCAAATTCTCTACCTCCCATATATGACTAGCACCAATAAAACTTGTCATTGGATCCACTTAATGGAATTAGTCCTCTCCTTGTGAACCAAAATTGTCCCCAGGACTTGCTTTATATTCATTAACAGATAAGGAATTTTCAGAGGCAGAAAAGAAAGCATAAGCATGGGTTATTTTGCCATGTCAATAGGATTCTTAAGATCGAATCAGGTATTAAATAAATCATTGCTTTGAAAACCGAGGGGCCACCCATGTCTCATCTTCCTGTGAGCATTCACTGCTGGCATCAGCTACTGAACACAGAACATTGCCAGGAGCAGCTCTTGCCCTCCAAGAAGAAAAGTCTTACAGAAGAGCAGTGTAAAAGTAGCCCACAACTTGCTTTTTCTCATGCAATCTTTTATTTTCCTTCCTTTCTTAGGAATAACTGTGGTTCTCAGTATTTGGGGTCTTCACCACAATCCTACCGTTTGGGAACACCCAAAGGTATAACTCTTGCATGTGAATATTTCAGAGATCTAATACTGTGCAGTTCACTTATTGTTATCTATGCATGGAAGCGGCTGTCCAGTTAAAGCAGCTTACACAAAACAAACAAAATAATAACCAAAAGTGTAAATCTTTTCCTCTTCCCCATTTTTACTTTTTCCTTACTTTTTTTTCAATATTTTTACTTTTATTTATTTATTTGTTGAAGATTTATTTATTTATTTATACAAGCACTGGGTACAGTCAGAAGCACGGAAGGTGAGAGAATTCACCAGAGCCAGAAGAGGGAACAGAACAGGCAGAATGACTGAAATACACTGCTGAGGGGAGCAGCAGGCGTGGCAGGAGAGGTCTGCGTGCCATGTGGGACCCTCGCCCAGTGGCTGGGGATTGAACTGACACTGCAGAGGCTGCGGGCAGCTTCGCAACCCAGCGCTCAAACACTGCGCCACCAGGGAGGCCCTCAATATCTTTACTTTTAAATGACTAGATTGGCATAATGTCACATAGTCTGCTCTAACTTATCACACTCTGACATCAGCCATTTACCTGGAGAGCCTATCAAGCGCTGCCCTGCATATCTGCATGAGTGTAGACTGCCAACGCAGCCATTCAAGCAACTCACATGCCCCTTTGCTGGTTGTAACAGTCAGGATTCTGGGAGGAAATCAATGACACTCTCTCTGTGGGAGATTTGAGGAGAATTTTATAAAGGAATTATGTACAGAGATATGGGTGGGGTCCAGGAAAAGCAAAATGGTGCAGATCACTGCAGAAGTGCTTGCCACTTCTAGGACTGATGGGACACAGAAGGGGGGTGTTACAGAACCTGGAGAGAGGTTGCTGCTGGGGAAGGTCATCAGACCAAAATAGTGGTCTTCAGGAGAGCATGCAGCCAAGCCTGATACTGTCTGGAAGAAGGGGCCCAGGAAATACATGTCTCCGACACTCTCTTTACCACACTACAGATCCCCAGTCAATGCTTTTTTCCCCCAAAGAAAAACACATAGAGGTCAGCTTGATTCAATGTTCTTGAAACTTATAGCACTCACAACAAGTATTGATGTTTCCTTTTACTTAAGCTGCTGGGGTTTAAGATCTCTTACATATAACGGGAAGTTGGAAGGCAAGTCTCAGTAGCAATGATCACATAATCACTTTGGTTTGCCTTCTAATCAGTGCATGCTTACCTCCAAAGTGAAAATAGTACCACTGGCTGTTGTATGTCTGCTTTCCCCTTAGTTTGGGTAACTAGTCAAATGGCAAAGCAGACCAGATCTGGAGGTCTAGAGTTACCCTCTCTGGTATGGTGGCCGGAGTGACTGCTAAGCATTTGAAAAGTAGCTAGTTGGAATAGATTTGCTAAATATGTAAATTACACATGGGATTTTGAGTTTTCCCCAGTATAAAAAATATAAAATGGGCCTCCCTGGTGGCGTAGCTGTTGAGAGCTGGGCCCAGTTCGATCCCTGGCTGCCGGCGAGGATCCCACATGGCGCGCAGACCTCTCCTGCTGTGCCCGCTGCTCCCCTCAGCAGTGTCCTGTCTATCTGGCTGTTCTCCCTGCTCTGGCCCTGGTGAATTCTCTCATGCTTCTGACTGTACCCAGTGCTTGTATAAATAAATAAATAAATAAATCTTTTAAAAAATAAAATAAAATATTTTCTTAACGATTATTTAAATTGATTACCCATTCAATGATAATATACTCTGTAGAATAAACTCTATGATTAAAATTAATATTATCTTCTCAAAATGTGGCTTGCCAGAACATTTGGAATTACATACATGACTCACAGTCTATTTCTGTTGATCTGTGCTAAGTAAGGACCTTAAGAAATAAGCTCGTGGTGTTTTGGGGATGATGGTGGTGTCACCTCTCGTTTCAGGTCTTTGACCCCTTGAGGTTCTCTCAGAAGAATTCTGATCAAAGGCACCCCCATTCCTTCCTACCGTTCTCAGCTGGACCCAGGTGAAGACAATGTTGGTTATTGAAAATGCACAAAAGTGTTCACTTGGCAACAGCTCACTCCCACTAGCCCCTGTGTTCCATAAATTCTTCCATGGAACCCTGTCTTCTTCCAGGGCCACAAGACACATCTTGAGCACCTGAAGGGGCCAGTTCATCTCACAAATCACAGTGCCATTCTGTATCAGTCCTATAGAGCCAACCCTTGGAACGTTACCCCATGGTGCAGTCCACCTTCATAGGCTCAGTGCAGTCCACCTTCACTGCAGGAGAGTTTTTTTTTTTTTAATTTCACCCTTCTTGTGGTATTATTATTTTTAAAGATTTATTGTGAAAGAATCCCACCCCATCTAATCAATTAATACATCTTTTACCTCACGTATTTATCATCTTTCAGTGCATTAGAAAATTTAAGTTCTGATTTCTTAGAAAATTTTCTTTTTTTTTTAAAGAAAATTTTTCTTTTTACATAGAGTCTCATCAACTATAGTCACTATGTTTTACATTCAGTTCCTGGTGGAGAAACAATTCTGTGAGCAACTTAGCTGCTACCTTGTTTAGGAGGGGATGGTCTTGGAGCCTCCCAGCTCAGGTCTTGCGGGAAACAGTGTAAATACAAAGTCCAGTGGTGTGTGTGGCATTTAGTGTGACAATGTTGCTTCACTGTGAATATCTTATCAGAGAGAAGAAACATCATTTCTTCAAGTCTTTCCTTCTTTCCCTTGATGTTTGCAGGAACTGCATCGGGCAGCATTTTGCCATGGTTGAGTTAAAGGTGGCCATTGCCTTGATTCTGCTTCACTTCAGGGTGACTCCAGACCCCGCCAGACCTCTTGTCTTCTTGCCCCAGTCTGTCCTCAAACCCCAACAGGGGCTGCATGTGTACCTGAAGAAACTCACCAAATGTTAGAGCCCCAAAAAAATATTCTAGATACTTGCTTTGAATTTAAAGTACAGCTATGGTCTAAGATGAAAAGAATGAAAATATGGTAGAAGGGGTAAGGGTCGGGGAATGGAGGACTCTGTGGAGCTGTACATTATCCAAAAACATTTCCAGGTGACACAGGGTGTTACCTAGCTCTATTCCTTTTTTTTTTTTATTGTTTTTAAAGATTTATTTTTATTTATACAAGAGCTGGGGTACAGGCCAGAGTTACGGGAAGGTGAGAGGATTCACCAGAGACAGAGCGGGGAGCAGAACAGGCAGTCAGGATGAAAGCACTGCTGAGGGGAGCAGCGGGCTGCTGAAGGGAGTAGTGGGCGAAGACAGGAGAGGTCTTCTTCGCCATGTGGGATTCTCCCTGGCTGGCCGGGAATCAAACCAGTGCTGTGGAGGCTGCGGACAGCTTCACAGCGCTGCGCTCAACCCGCTGCGCCACCAGGGAGACCCACCTAGCTCTATTTCTATATACCTTTGGGAGACTGTCAGATCTTTTCTGTTTGATTCAGACTATTAATGCAATATATCAATAATTTTTGCTACGTTACTTTATTGTCTGTTGGTTTTTAAAATGGTTCTCAGAATTATGTAATAAGTGAATATGTGCTTGCTATAAAGATTTCCAACTCTAGAAAAGTCTGCAAAGTAAAAAAATAAAATTCCTGCTTCACATAGCCCATACCTGTCCTAACCAATCCTACTATTTTTTTCCTAAAAACAGAATCATCTGGTGTGCATTCTTTCAGACTTCTATATATTTCATATTCACATGTGTGTGTGTATGTATTTTTGTAGGTGGGATCACATTCATATTGTTCTTGCATTTTTCACTTAATGAAAATACCTCTCATTCCTAGTTATAGGGATTAATACTAAACATTCAGTGTGCTATAGTATGGATGCACTATAATTTAGCTATTTTCCTATTATTGAATATGTAAGTTATGTTATACAATATATTTATTGTCCATTGTGTTTATGTTTGTCTTGTACTCTAACTAGTACATCATCTGTGTTTATTTTTCTATGGAATTTGTCTTTTTCCTGATTCCTATGAGTTATTTGTGCATTGTGGATAATAATCCTTGGTTGTAACTTCCCTTTATAATTTTCCCCATTGTTTTACTTTCTAAAAACTGTATTTATGTGTGTGTTAACATATGAAGCTTCTAAATTTTCATGAAGTAAATATATAAGCTTTTCTTTATGGCTTTTTGTGTTGGGGTTTTTTTTTGTATTAAATAAGACTTCTTTAGACTATTATAAAGATATTATACATATTTTCCTGGTGCTAACAACTCTCATGCAACCAATATGGGAATATTGTAATAATTTTCAGACTCATTTGATGTTTAAGTGCCTATCAGATGTGATAATCATCGAGGATTAGTGGATTAATAGACATGGCCCTAATGAAGCTTATATTCTAAAGTGGAAGATGGATAACAAGCAGATCATAACAAAGTGGAGTAAGTGCCAGGAAGGAAATGGGTTGGTTGAGCTAAATAGTAATCAAGGTGAATTTTCTTTACATCGGGTTGTTAGGACAACCCATCTTAAGAAGGAGACATATAAGTTAAGGCCTGAAAGATGGTAATGGAAGCCACATGTGCCTCCTGTTAACAAAATTATGGCAAAGAGTTAAACCATTTTAATATCCCCTGAAATAAAAGTAAGTATACTACCCCTACCCAGTGAAAGCAAAGTGATCTTGACTCTCTGAAATGATAGAAAATGAAAAGAAAGTGCTGGTCACATCAATAACATCTACTTTTTTTTTTGGTTTTAAAGAAAATTCTTTTTTTTTTAAGATTTATTTATTCATTTACACAAGCACTGGGTACAGTCAGATATTTATTCATTTATACAAGCACTGGGTACAGTCAGAAGCGCGGGAGGGTGAGAGAATTCACCAGAGCCAGAGCGGGAACAGAGCAGGCAGACTGACGAAGTACACTGCTGAGGGGAGCAGCGGGCGTGGCAGGAGAGGTCTGTCCCGCCATGTGGAACCCTTGCTCGTGGCGGGGGATGGAACCAGCGCTGCAGAGGCTGCAGGCAGTTTCGCAACCCAGCGCTCAACCACTGCGTGACCAGGGGAGGCCCTTAAAGAAAATTCTTTAATGATTTTGTAAGTGCTTAATTGCTCTTTATAAACTATTTAATCTGTAAGTGCTTTGTCACCCTTTGTATATTTTATTTTATATTTTTTTTACATCATTTTTCATTTTTGCACAATGTATGCATTTTCATCTTGGTTATATTCCCCATACAATTCCCACCCCCCTTATTTTGACCCTAATGCCTCCTCTACTTTAACATAAAAATCCCCAAATAGAGGAGCTTAAGCAAGATAAAAATGTCTTCCTCATAAAACAGTCTGGAGGAGGTAGGTGGCTCACAGCTAGCAGGCTAGGTTGCTCTGCAGAGTCTAGGCACCCAGCCTCCTTCTATCTTCTAGTCCTCCAGCTTCAATAGATGGTTTTTAGGTAATGATGTAAGGTAGCTGCCGCTTCCTACCACCACATCTGCCTTCAAGCCTGTGGAAGGATATAAAAAGGACATGAACTTTCTCTTTGGAAAATATTAGCTAGAGGGTGGCACCTCGTTTCTGCTCATAATTGCCCAAGATCTAATCATAAAAACCTAGTCCCTTATTTAGCTCAAAGGGAGATTGGGTAATGTGGTGCTTAGCTGGCAACCATGTGCTTAGCTAAAATTTCTATTTCTGTAGGAACGGAGAAAGGCTATTGAAAGGCTCTCTGCTACAAAGGCATTCCTGGACTGGCATCTTCACTTCCCCAACCTGAGTGAGGCTAGGTGGAGACACAGGCCCATAATCTAGTATTTAGTTCTTTATTTTTATGATACCAGCATTATTACTTATCTTTCATGACAAGTAGGCAGTACACCGATTTTTTTTTTTTTAAAGATTTATTTGTTTATTTATACAAGCACTGGGTACAGTCAGAAGCGCGGGAGGGTGAGAGGATTCACCAGAGCCAGAGCGGGGAGCAGAGCAGGCAGAAGGACCGAAGTACACTGCTGAGGGGAGCAGCGGGCGGCAGGAGAGGTCTGCGCGCCATGTGGGACCCTCCTCCAGTGGCCGGGGAGCGGCCGGGGATCGAACTGGCGCAGCAGAGGCCGCGGGCAGCTTCGCAACCCAGCGCTCAACCGCTGCGCCACCGGGGAGGCCCAGTACACCGATTTTTAAAGTTACTTCATTGAATAAATTTATCTTTTAGTATTGTGTTTACCCAACTTAGAAAAGCCAGTGAAATACATAAGCCAATTTAACACAGTTATAATTCAAACCATCAGATACATTTACAAATTAAACTTCAAATAGGATATATGCAACATTGACTCAGTTTCACAAAAAAAAAGTTCATAAAGTGTACTAGGATAATTTGACCAGTAAGTTTATTCCCAACTTTATATTTGTATATTTTATATGTCCAGTGCCATTTTGACTCAAACCCTGAGGCTTATAGTTTACATAAAGCAAACCCAAAGAATGAGTCATAGGTAAAGGACATTACCATTGAAAATAACCAAATATTTACACATTGAAATACAACATATAAAGTTCTCCATTTTGCATCCTGCTGTGGAATGATTATTGCCAAGTGAAATACAAAGTCACTTTCTTATAAATCATCTGGGCCTATCCCAATCTGGAGTATAGTTTCTAAAATCAAAATGGAAGAGTAGCTATTACTGTATAATTGGACATATTTAGGGTCAATGATGTGCAGCTGACTGTCAATAATTTACATTTAACTCTGCATGTAATCTGGAGTTTAGATATTTAAATGCCCTGCTGACAATGGGCATAGTTCTCAATTTTCATATCTAGACATGACCTGTTTGCATGTGGAAAAACCACAGAGCAGGGTCTTTGATTTACCCTAAGTCAGTAGCCAAGGACACTTTGACTGTTTACTTAATTTTTCTAGAACAGAAGTCTATATTTCCCTACGGGGAACTTTGTTTTGAGCCAGTGTTCATTTGAACATTTGCCTTTCAGCTTCGCTGTGAGTTTTTCTCCTTTCATCCTCTCCCTCAAGGCTATCCCTGCTCTTTATATTTTTTTAATGATTTATTTATTTATGCATACAAGAACTGGGGTACAGGCTAGAGTTGCAGGGAGATGAAAGGATTCACCAGAGATAGAGTGGGGAGCAGAACAGGCAGATTGATTGAAATACGCTGCTGAGCGGACGAGACAGGAGAGGTCTGCTGTGCCATGTGGGTCACCTCCCTGGCTGGGGATCAAACTCGGGCTGCAGTAGCTGTGGATAGCTTCAGAGTGCTGCATCTTAACCCCTTGCATCACCATGGAGGACCTATCCCTGCTCTTTAAGTCCAGGAGACTCTGAAAGCCTAAATAAGATACTATCGCTTTCTTTGATAATTTTTGAATCAGTACCAATCATAGCCAAGTTATGCATGCATCCTGGTTATGAAATATCCTAGCTTTGTCTTGGCTTCTTTAAAAAGCAGATTAATCTTTGTCATAAGCAGAAGTCAATTTAGATAGTCAAATGTAGTTGGACACATCCACTTCTTCCTTATGGCCCTTTTCCAGTGTTTGCTTCAAACTTCCTGTAAAATGCTTGTCATATGCCTTTAAAAAAATTAATAGACCAAAATTTTAGAGCAATTTTAGATCTATAGAAAAACTGAGAATTCCTATATGTCCTCACAATATTCCCCCTAGTTTCTCCTAGTAAATCTCGCAGTAGTGAATTACATTTATTACAACTGTTGAGTCATTATTGATACATTGCTATTAACTAAGTCCATAATTCACACTAGGATTCACTTGGTGTTATCCATTCCATGTGTTTTGACAAATGCACAATGACATGTATTTATTATTACAATATCTGACAGAATAGTGTTGAGATAGGAAGGGTCCTGGGACAAAGGACGACAGGACTCAGAGACAAAATGTTCTTCCCACAGCATGGTAAAAAAGAGGTTAAAAAATAAACGCAATGTTTTTCTTTTTCTTTCTGACTTGTTTCGCTGAGCATGATCCCTTCTAGCTCCATCCATGTTGCTGCAAACTACATGTGTTTATCTTTTTTGATTGCTGAGTAATATTCCATTGTGTATATGTACCACATCTTCTTGATCCAGTCATCTATTTTTGGGCATTTGGGTTGCTTCCATAGATTAGCTATTGTAAATAGTGCTACTATAAACATAGGGGTGCAGGTGCCCTTTGGAATTACTGTTTCTGTGTCATTTGGGTAAATACCTAGGAGTGGAATTGCCGGATCGTATGGAAGCTCTATGTTTAATAGTTCAAGAAAAATACTGGACGGTCTCACTCATAGCAGGAATTTAGAAAACCTAAATAAGAGACCAAGAAAAAGACTAATCAATTCAAAGTAAACCAGAGATACACTATGGAGGGGGGTGGAGGGAGGGGCGGGGAAAGGAAGGACTAGAATCAAAATAAGGGGGGAGGTGCAATTGTATGAGGAATATAACCAAAATGAATATGCATACATTGTGCAAAGATGAAAAAAGATGTAAGAATTATATAAAATAAAATATTTAAATAAAAAACATCTCAATGCAATAAAAACAAAAAATAAGGATACAAAAATAAATAAATAAATAAACCCGATGACTCTAGGATGGGAAACCTGTGGCCATAAATTTCCTCTGCCCATTGTCTTTAATACTAATTTTTCTCAGCCTCGGCATTCCTGGCCTGTCTTCCCACACCTTACCAAAGCTGGCTGCTGTAGAATAAAGGGAGTTCCAGACCTCAAAGAAATGAGATACAGACCCTGAGGGCAGACCAGTTCACACTGGTGCTGCAAGCACACAGCGTCTGTGAGGTGCCCACCTAGGAGGTGGTCACAAGCCCTGCACAAGCGCCAAGCTGTAGCTGACAGGTGCCCACAATTAGAAACAATAAATGAGTTTAGTTAAGTCTGCTCTCCTTGCTTTCTTGTCTAACAAAGTTGAAGTCCTTTGATCTCAAACCCCAGTCCCCAAACCTAGATAAGCTCTTAGCCCTGGCACCCTGGGGAGTCTCTCATGCCTAGAGAGGTCTCTCTTGAGCTGTCTTCCCTTGTTCTTTCATGCACACTTACTCTTTGTCCGTCCTCACTGGTGTCTGTGGAGGACTTTTCAGTCTTGCACAGAGTGTCTCAAGACGCTCTTCCTGGGCTTGGGAGCAGGGCCCACACACACCAACCATCCCTCCAATTCCCAGCTGGTGGAGCCATGGACAGCAGCTGGTTTGTTCCCAGCTTATCTGTTGGTGTTTTAGAGGGTAGCATTGGACCCAGACCTACTCCCTTGTCCAGTAACAGTTTTACTGTCATAAATAACTCTTTGCCCCACCTATTTATTCCTCCCTCCCCACCCCATCCTCTGGCACCCCTGACAACCACTAATCATTTTTATTGTTTCCATGGTTTGCCTTTTCTAGAATGTCATATAGTTGGAATCGTACAGTCCACAGCCTTCTCAAACTGTCTTTTTTCACTTAGCAATAAGCATTTAAAATTCCTCCATAAGCAAAGAACATGCAATAGAACAAGGACAGTTTGTTCAATAAATGGTGCTGGGAAAACTGGACCACCATAAGCAAAAGAATGAAACTAGACTGGTTGATGTCTATTTTACTATCGGATAAAAAATATGTTGAAAATGCAGAAGAAACATAAGAAAATCCATTTTTAACATTTTGAGATAATTTCAATTTGGATATTTTCAGTGTGGGTTTGTACTCATTCCTCCTCAGTGACATTCAACACAGACTCCCACTGCAGATGTTGAACAAATATCTGGAGACAGAGATGGGATTTTTTTGGATCATGAATGGGTTTTGATGCTTTTTCAAAGCCAAGTGTTACTTCAGACTGCAGATGTGCAGCTGCTTATTTACAGAAATTGCCAACTTATTATCTCTTTGTACTCTAAATTTTAGGAAAACAATATTAAATGATAAACATGGAATATATATATTGTTTAAATACATAATAAAATGAATGTAAAAACATGTTTTTAAATATTTTTAAATAAAATTTATTTTAAAAAATATTTTATAAAATAAATTCATCCCCCATATATTTCATGGTTCGATTGGCTAATTCTATCATTAAATAATATTCTACCACATGGAATAGAAACAAACCACAATTTCCCCACTTCCCTATTGAAGGGCATCTTAGTTGCCTCCTGATTTTGGCAATATGACCAAAGCTACCATAGTTTTTAACTCATTTGGGTTAATACCAAGGGGTACAATTGCTCAGTCATATGGTAAGAGCATGTTTAGCACTGTAAGACTCTACCAAACTATCTTCCAAAGTGGCTGTACATTTTCAATTCCTACCAGCAATGAATGAGAGTTCTTGTTGCTCTACATCTTCAACAGAATTTGGTGTCATCAGTGTTTTGGAATTAAGTCACTCTAATAAATGTGTAGCACTATCTCATCACTGTGAGATAGTAGTGATCTCTAATTAGCAATTCCTTTATGATGTGATATTGAACATCACTCCCTTGATTTCTGAGGTTCCTGGAAACCAGTCTGAAAAGACTACATACTATGTGATTCTAATTATATGACATTCTGGGAAAGGTAAATCTCTGGAGGTGTAAAAAGATCAGGGGTTGTCAGAAGATGAGGGCAGGAGGGTGTGTAAGCAGAGCATAAAGATTTTTTTTTAAGATTTATTATTTATACATACAAGAACTGGGGTACAGGCCAGAGGTGCAGGGTGGGGGGTCAGTAAGATGATTCACCAGAGACAGAGTGGGGAGAAGAACAGGCGGATCTACTGAAATACACTGCTGAGGGGAGCAGCAGGTGAGAGAGGAGAGGTCTGCTGCGCCATATGGGTAGCTCCCTGGCTGGCCAGAGATTGAACTCAGCCTCGAACAGAGGCTGCAGTTTGCTTCATAGTGCTGTGCTTAATCCCTTGCACCACCAGGGAGCCCAGAGCATGAGGATTTTTAAGGCAGGAAAAGGAATCTGTGTAACACAGTAATGGTAGTTATGTGTCATTAGACATTTCTCAACACCTATAGATTATACAGCCCCAAGAGTGAACCTTAATGGAATCTATGGAGTTTGGGCTATAGTGCTATGTCGTGAAGATTTGGTGATTGTAACAAATGTCCCACTGTGTGGGCCAGTGATAGTAGTGGAGGCTGTGAACATACAGGGGCAGACAGAGCATATATGGGAACTCTTGTACTTTCTGCTCAATTATGCTGTGAACCTAAAACTGCTATTAAAAAGTCCATTTTAAAAATTATACAGTATAAGGAAGAGAGATTTCTTACAAGAATGGATAAAGGTGCATGAAGGATGAACAGATGAGACTCTGGTGGACATACCACTACAGAGTCTCCAATGGGGTCCAGCTTGTCATGCATTCAGCCTCTGTCTGAAAATCTGGTTCTTCTGGAAAGCAGGCCAGCTGGTTGACATGCCAATAATTTTTACCCTGCAGACTCAGTCCCTTCCTGTATCTTTCTGCTTCCCTGAACATATTATTTGGAAGAGTCCAGTGTTGCCCAAAGGCATCTCCCTTGCATTTATGAGTGACCTGGGATAGGAAGCACCCTCAGTTCTCCCAGACTTCTATGCTCAGCACCTCTGAAAAGGATGGCACCCTCGTGGTTTCAACAAATTTTGGCTCAACCCTTCTCTTTGCTGTTCCTCCTCTGCACATCCTTGCTATTACTGCTAATAGTCAGACTGTACCAGAGGAGGAGAGGGCTCCTCAAAGCCCTGCACCTCTTTCCTGGACCCCCTGCACACTGGTTATATGGGCATAAGCAGGTAAGAAATAAGCTGGGGAGGTTGAGGCATGGAGTATTACGTATTAAGGTGTTAATAAAAGTCAGATTTGTGGAGCATTATGCAATATGTAACATAGTTTCATACCTCTTTGAGTTTCACAAAAAATTTCTATGCTGTAGGGAAGATAATTATTGTTATTCCCAATTTCCCAGACGAGAAAAGTGAAGACTAAAATAGACATGCCACTTTCTGATGTTGCACCTCTATGTGCAGAGGAAAAATTTGAGCCCAAGTCTTCTGATTCAAAGCCACAGTCCTTACTGCTCAGAAGCCACTCAGTTTCCCCCTGGTGGCGCAAGGGATTAAGCACAGCACTATGAAGCAAACTGCAGCCTCTGTTCGAGGGCTGGCTGGGTGATAACAGAAGATACACCAAGATGCCTAAGAAGCTGGAAATAGGGGAATATTTAGCAAATTAGAAAGGACAGGAGCTGCCAGAAGGGCATAAAACGTACATGAGACTCCTCTGTTTTCAAGGCAGAGAAAGCCCAAGTGGGGAAATGTGGACAGAGCAAGAAATGGTGAATATCAATTAAATTTCCAGCCAAGAATTTATGTTTACTATTCTACTGGATTTTCACAGCAGTTTTATGAAATCGATATGGTTTTCTTGACTAATCACATAAAGTAAGTGAGGACCTGAGGTTCTAGGTACTAAATCAGTGGCAGGTTGGGATTCGAACTTGAGTCTTTATGGCCCCAAAGCCTGCTCTCTTGCTCTCTGCCTCACCACCAGCTCTTTCAACATTCCCCAGACACAGGATCCATTGCTGCAATTGGGAAGTTCTGGATATGATGTAGCAGGTCCCTGCTTACAGTTTTCTGTGACCTTGCCCGCTTCGCTTTGCCCAAGGGCTGACATAACTTGTGTGAGAAGGCCCTTCCCAGGCAGTCCCAGCCCACCTCTCCTGACTTATTTCCCAAACTCAGCCCGCATGGCTCCCCTCCATTCTCAGTGATTCATTCTCCTTTCTGTGATAAACCAGATTTCTTCTGTGGCTCTATAACTTGACACAGTCCATTGAATCGAAACAGAACTCTCTTACCTGTTCCCTCACACAAATTCCATTGGTCTTTTAGCCCCGGTTCCAGAGTCCCCTCCTTAAATGCTTTTCTTGGCACCCAGCGAAGCCTTGACTGGGCCCTCCTCTCAATCTAATCTTCCACAAGGAAAGAGTAGCTGACTGAGGGTGGGCTGAACCTTCACTGGGGCCAGCAATGTGACGGCAAAGGCAGAAGGTCAGATTGTCCGCTCTAGTGGGTCATTAATAAGGAGCCATGAAATTCATATATGTGGGGAGAAGTGACATGACATGTGTTTGTGCTTCAGGAAGGGAACTCAGCAGTGTAGACAGTCTGCACGGTACAAACTGGTGTGAGAAGGCCAGTCATCAGCAGGTGCTCAGGATAATATGTCTGAGGTGCTGAAGACACACAGAGAAGAAGAAAACTTGCCTTCAGCAGAGCGCGGCACTACCTGATGGGGTGTTGTCCCACCATCCCTGAACGTAGCTTGTGGCTACGTTCAGAGGGGAAAACTTCCTCCTGGATTGATTCCCATTACTAATTCACAAAACTCCCTCATTACAGTTTTATCCAAAAAAAGAATTCGAGATGCTTGGTGAGCTGATCACAAAATACCCCTGTGCTATGTCCCTCTGGAGCGGACCTTTTATGGTGTTCTTCCTTATCTATGACCCGGAGTATGCCAAAATCCTGCTGAGCAGAAAAGGTAAAAACAAAGATGAGCCCACAGTACAAAGCGAGACAGGGTGTCTCGGGGTGTCTATAGTGTGAGGGAAAGACAGATGGAAGGGTGTCGAAGGGAAACCATATACTGACATATTGAAGGGAAGTCCTCTGTCTCCTGGACCTCAGAACCATACAGGGCTGTTATGGAGGATGAGCTGGTCCATTTCCAAGCATGGTCTCCCCCCATAACAGACCTCTCCTAAACCTCCCACTACACCTGACACCCTCAGGGCTTGCTTTCTCACCACCCACTGTGAAGACCAAGACTGGTAAGGATTGAGGAGGTGGTTTGCTGATAGCTTGACCTTAACACCTGTGTTGGACAGAGGGGGGTGACCCCTGTGGCTATTTTATCCACTGAAAATGTCCCTTCTTTGAGAATGGCCAGTGCTGACTGAAGGCTCTAGCAAGTGACCACTAGTTCTCTGTAAGGTCAGTGGTATGGAAATCCCACAGAAAGACAGGGCTGCTTCTCACCTCTCTCACCCGGGAGGTCCACAGGCATCCTGTGCTGGGCATTCCTCAGCACCTGCCCGCATGGAAGGTGGATCTTTGCCTCCCTCTCCCAGCTAGACGGCTCTCCCCCGTGGTGGCAGGGCAGGAACTGTGTCGGGCATCCATTTTAAACTTTGATCCTTCTTGTATTTTTTGTTTTTCTGTCTTTGGACCTTCACCTCTACAACTGTGAGAAATGAGTGTTTGTTGTTTAATAGCCGCCTGATCTGCCGTAGCAACCTGAGCTACTACACGACCCTGCTGAGCTCCACAGAGGCTGCAGCGCATAACCACTAGCAAAACCCAAGGGTCCCAACCCCCCCACACCCTGCCATTACTCTTTATTTTCTGTTTTAATAATGGTCATTCTAAGTGAGTATGGAATGATAACTCATGGTGATTTTTATTTGCCTATGTCTAGTGATTAATTATGTTAGGCACTTTTCATGTTCTTATTGGCCTTTTATATTTCTAGTGGAAATTTGAAGTCCCTTGATCATTTTTAAAATGAGTTTCTTTGTTCTTTTATTGTTATTGATTTATAGGAGTTCTTTATATATTCTAGATGAATGACTTGCAAATATTTGGGTTGCCTTTTCATTCTGCTGATAGTGTCTTTTGATGTACAAACATATTTAATGTTAATGAAGTTCAGTTTATTCACTTTTTCTTTTTTTTGCCTGTGCTTTTTGTATTATATCCAAGTAATCATTGCCAAATCCAATGGTATATTTTTTCCCTTAGAGTTTTATCATTTTAACTCTTATAGACTATTTTGTAGTGATTTTTGTATATGGTATAAGTTCCATATTTGATTTTAAGTACATAGATGGGGGGAGAGAGAGATAAAGAGAGAGAAAAGAAAAAGAGAGAGAGACTGAACAGCCTTTTAAAAATACATTTGTGAGTTTGTCTGAATTGATGGAGGTTACAGAATGATGATTTATATCATTTCTTAAATATTATTCACCTTTTATTAGCCATAGTGGAGAGTTCTTCTTATCCCTTCTTATCTCTCTCTCTCTCTTTCTCTCTCTCTCTGTCTTTCTTAAGGTGACGTTGGTTTTACATTACAGTGTAGGTTTTAGGATTACAGCTTCACACCTGTTCACATATTTGATATCACACCACATCTACTACCAAAGTTCTAATAACCCTAAACCACCAACTAATAGATCCCTTCTACCCATTCCTTGGACCCCTACCCCACCCCTACCCATCTGGTACCCACCATTCTGTTGTCAGAATTCAAGAGTTTATTTTTATTTTGTCTTGTTTGTTCATTTCCTTTATTTCTTTGTTTCCACTTATGAGTGAAATCATACAGCATTTATCATTCTCTTCCTGCTTATTTCACTTGGCATAATCCCCTCAAGTTCCATCTGTGTTGTTGTAAAAGGCAAGATTTCATCTTTTTAGAATTCCGTGCTATGCCGTTGTGTATGTACACCACAGCTTATCTAGCCATACAGCGATGGGTATGTGGGTTGTTTCCCTGTCTTGGCTGTCATGAATAGTGCTGCAATGAACACAGGAATGCATGATCTTTTTGAATCAGTGTTTTCATGTTCGGATAGATACCTAGAAGTAGAATTGTGCGTCATACAAAAGTTCTACTTTTAATTTTTGGAAGACTCCCTCTACAGTTTTCTAAAGTAGCTGCACTTTTAGTACTGCTTTTGCTTGCCTATGGTTTCTGATAAGTCAGGTCTTTATTTTCATTCACCTTCAAGTACTTTTTAATTTCACCTTTGACTTCTTCATTGACCCAACATGTTGTTTATTTTCCACAAATTTATGGTTTTCCCCTCCATCTTTTGGTTTACGTCTAGTTTCATACCATTATAATCCAAAGATATGTTTGATATTTTTCAATCTTCATAAATGTATTGAAACTTTTTTTGTGTCCCAACATGTGATACATTCTTGTTTTTTTTTTTAAGATTTATTTATTTATTTATTTATACAAGCACTGGGTACAGTCAGAAGCGCGGGAGGGTGAGAGAATTCACCAGAGCCAGAGGGGAGAGCAGAGCAGGCAGACTGACAAAGTACACTGCTGAGGGGAGCAGTGGGCGGCAGGAGAGGTCTGCGTGCCATGTGGGACCTTTGCCCCGTGGCCAGGGATGGAACTGGCACTGCAGAGGCTGCTGGCAGCTTTGCAACCCAGTGCTCAACCGCTGTGCCACTGAGAAGGCCCCATATGATATATTCTTAAGAATGTTCCATAAGCACTTGCAAAAAATGTTTATTCTAGTGTCTTGGATATATGTTCTGTAAATGTCTATTAAGTCCATCTCATCCAATTTGCCATTTAAAACATCCTATTTAGCTTATATATATATATTTTTTAAAGATTTATTTATTCCTACAAGAACTGGGGTACAAGCCAGAGGAGCAGGGTAGGGGGGGTCAATAAGAGGATTCACCAGAGACAGAGTGGGGGGCAGAACAGGCAGATGTACTGAAATACACTGCTGAGGGGAGCAGCAGGCGTGACAGGAGAGGTCTGCTGTGCCATGTGGGTAGCTCCCTGGTCAGCCAGGGATCGAACTGTGTGTGCTGCAGAGGCTGTGGATAGCTTCACAGTGCTGTGCTTAACACTTTGCACCACCAGGGAGGCCCTTATATTTTTAATATCAGCTTGGAGGTTGAGCTGCATTTACTTTTCCAGCAGATGGCACTGTAGTTTGATCATTTCCCCTTTGCTGGCTTCTGTATGTACTGCAGTCTGTCTTTTTATAGTTGCTGTGTCTGCAGAGGGAGGCAGGGCTTGGAGGGGTCTAGGTTTTGTGGCAAATGTGCCAGAGTCTGGTTCATATTTGTTGTACCACCAACATCTTTCCTCTCTTGCGTCCCAGATATCAAACTCAGCAGTCTTCCATCAGTACGCATTAAGAGGTCAGTGAGGGGTGAGCGGTGTCCTGAGGGCAAGGAGGGAGAGTAGTCTAGAGCCCTTTTCTGTTGTCTTTCTCACCAGGCCCTCAGTCTGTGTGCAGTACTCCAGCTCCTCCTTATGGGCATCACCTGGACCAAAGATGGCTGCCTCCATGCCATTTCCATTCTCCCCTCCCCAGGACCTCTGGCTTGACCAGCGGTCCTGTTGTATCCCCTATCCTGACCCCAGCTTCCAGGCATTTCTGTCCATCTTCCTCCTGTCCAGTGAAGCCTTACTATCCTCCATGTACCCTCTGGCACAGTCTGTGTTGGCTTCTGAGGTGCAAGGGGTGATTCGGTCTCACCACAAGCGTAGTGGCAGGAATGGGCACAGTGCAGGTTTTCTGATCCAGCAGACCAGGTAAAGGAGGAGTCAGAGTCCTCAGTGGCTTTTGCAGGTCTTTTATTTAGATTTACCAGGCATATGGCAGGCAGGGGTGCTGGGGGGCCAGGAGGCTGGCAGGCCTCCCAGCCCCAGCAAGTCTTCACTCTATCTGGGCTCTCCGACCTTCTCTCATGTTCTCTCTACTTCTCTGCTTTCCTGCTTCCGGTCGTTCTTGGCTTCTGCTGGCGTCCCCATGACGACACCCTTATAAACTCAGTCTCTCAGCCCAGGTGCCCGCCATCAGGCATGCATTCAGGACCACAGGGTTCCCTCATCTATCCTAATGGCGGGAGGGCAGAAAAGCCTGATACTTTTTCCTTACCCTACAGCAAGTCACAGGAGTCTCCCAGTACAATGCCCCTCTGGTTAATTATTAGATGTTTCTCCTGGGAGTGAGAGCAAGGAAACTTTTCTGTTGCTATCTTGGTCTATACCCTAGAACTTCAGTTTGGTTCCTTTTTATAATTTCTCTTTATTATTAGCCTCTAATTGTTCATATATCGTTCTCTTGGTTTCTTTTAATTCTTAGCCCATGGTTTCTTTAGTTTTTTGAGCTTAGCTCTGAGGCTACTTAAGACAGTTGATTTTAAATCATCTGGTAAGTCCAATGTCTATGCTTCCTCAGGGGAAAGTTTTTGTCATGACTTTTTGTGGAAAATGTGCCATATTTTCTTTTTTCTTTTGCATGCTTTGTAAATTTTTGTTTAAAAACAGACATTTCAAATTTTATGTGAGAAAAAGAAAATGCAAAAAGAGGGGACAATACTCTCCCAATCTTTGAAGGTTGATTCGGTGTTGGAGCACAACTTCAGTGTTCCGTCAGACCATTTGTGACTTACATTAGCCTTCTATTTCTTCTTGTGCTTGGTAAAAGTTCTAGCCAAAGTTGAAAGCTTATGGTCTTTCTCAGGGTGCTCAGGTCTTCTCTGTCATGCAGCCTGCCCTGGACGTGTGTAAGTAATCCATTACACACGGGACTTTTTCAGTGTCCCAATACCTTCCAAAATTCTAACTCCCAGATTTTGGTGTGTATATTGTTGCCTCAACTCTCTTTCCTTCCCAAGGCAGCAGTGTTAGTTCTTTTGCTTCCCCATGTTTCTGAGAAATATTTTGTGCATTGAGAGAGTTCCAAGCTAGGCAAAACATAGGTGTAGGGACAGGACCGGACACAGTGCAGGTTTTCTGATCCCATGCAGACCGGGTAAAGGAGGAGTCAGAGTCCTCAGTGGTTTTTTGCAGGTCTTTTATTGGGGTTCACCAGGCATATGGCAGGCAGGGGTGCTGGGGGGCTGGCAGGCTGGCAGGCCTCCCAGCCCCCAGCAAATCCTCACTCTATCTGGGCTCTCTGGTTATCTCTTTCGGCTTCGGCTTCTACTACTGCTGCTGGCGTCCCCGTGATGCCGCCCTTAAAAGCACAGTCTTAGCTCAGCTGAATCCCATCTACCTATGCCCACACCCTATTCCAGGTGCCCGCCATCAGGCATGCATTCAGGACAAGGATCCATCATCTATCCTGATGGCGGAAGGGCAGAAAAGCCTGACATTTTCTTATCCTACAATAGGTAAGACCCCAGTACTTTGGAGTACACGTAGAGATCAAAACAGAAAAACATAATTTGGCCCAGACAAGCATAAACAAGACCCACTCTGCTTTCTCCAGGACCCAGGAACCACTAAGGATGCAGGCTACCATCTTTAAGATAGCCTGCCTTGGAGAGGAGTATAAAGCAAGGCTGCATTAAAATGCCACAAAGCTTTCTTAGCCTGTGTAGGGTAAGGTAAAAGTATCAGGCTTTTCTGCCCTCCTACCATTAGGATAGGTGACGGAACCCTGTGGTCCCAAATGCATGCCTGATGGTGGGCACCTGGAATTGGGTGTGGGCATAGGTAGATGGGATTCACTTGGGCTAAGACTGGGCTTTTAAGGGCGGCGTCACTAGAACGCCAGCAGAACCATGAGAAGAGCAGAGAAGCAGAGAGTACCAGAGAACGCTGGAGAGCCCAGACAGAGTGAAGACTTGCTGGGGGCTGGGAGCCCTGCCAGCTGTGTACCTGGTAAATCCCAATAAAAGCCTGCAAAAGCCACTGAGGGCTCCAGGACTCTCTCCTCCTTTACCCTGTCTGCTGGTATCATAGAAAACCTGCTCAGTGCCCTTCCTGCCTTTACAGGCGGTTTCAATAAACTTTCTCCAGGTTAAGTGTTTAATTAGTTGTTGTAAATAATTGACTATCTTCCAGAGCTGTGATAAAGTTGCTTAGGATACTTTTGCCAGATTTTTTGTTGTTATTGTTGTTACTCTGGGAAGGGAGAACCTGGGGTGATTCTTGTGACAACATAGTCACTGATAGCACTCCCAGATTTTATCCTTTATTACTCTGTACCATATCCAAGAAGAGATTTGCTTGATTAGTCTGAAATATAAGCATATATGCTCTTTCTAAACAGTTCTGTAAACATCTTAGAGCGACACTGTCAATACTCTTCAGAAGATATCCAAAAATTCTAGGACTATCTCCCATCAAGCAAATGTGGGGGATGAGGAAAAAGAAGTAGTTAAGGAAAGATCCAAATCTGGGGTAGGGAAAATAGAAAATATGGTGATGCCTTTAAGTAAATAGAGAAGGAGGAAACTGATGGGGAAGGGATGGATCTGGTTTGGATACCCTGAGACTGAAGTGCCCGTGAGTTACAAAAGGGAGCTATGCAGAAGGCAGTGGTCTTACACTGCTGTATACACGTATTTGTGTAGAGAGAGGAAAGATCACTGGAGTGTAAGTGAGGGGCTGCCCTTAAGATCTCTCCTTCCTCTCAGGTGACAGGATCCTGAACCAAAATAGTTTCTAGATTTATATCACCTGGGCTCTTGTAGCAAGTTAATCTAATGTCAACAACACTCCTTTTCCAGGTGCTCATGTTTCCTTCCCAATTTCCACTTCCCTGTCTGTATCCTATGGAAAGGCTAAAGACCTCAGTGGGATGAATGAAGGACAGTGGTTCTTGTTTTCCTTGATGTATGAAACCAATGGTGTATCATTCACCTTTCCTTCTAATTCCTCTGTCCATCTTTCTCAAACAATTCCAACAAGTCTACAGAACATATCAAAAACCTTCATCTAGCTTTACATGTAATTCTGTAACTAAAGCTAAAATTAGACCTTTGAAATGCCATGACAGGGTTCATACACACTCACAAATTTTGCTTTTTTATCTCTAATATCCTGGGCCTGAAACCAAGCCCCCACTTTCAGGTGGAATTTGAAAAGCTCCACCTTCTACCATCAAGTTGCCCTCAGAGGTGAAGTCTAGAAAGCTCCACCTTCTACCATGGAGTTGGCTGTGAGCACCAACCCCTGGCTCAGAGGTGGCTCCTCACTGTTCCTCTGACAGGCCCACTTCGGTTTCCACAAAGGAAATCAAACTCTGGTCCTGACTGCTATTCCCATTAACCTCATAGCTCCAGGTACTGTGAGTGAGGAAATAAGTCACCCCCCTTTTGTACTTGTGACTTTCTTGACTTTGCCCGAGATTCTACGGACCAAGGAAGTAACCTCCAGTCACTTTGCACTTTGACTATTTGTGTTACCTCTAAGGCATATGAAAACAGACATTCTCTCATATTAACTGATAACTTTCACCTACCGTCATCTTTTGTCTCCTTTACAGATCCCAAAACTACTCTTGGCCACAAGTTCATTGAATCCTGGGTTGGTACATATATCTTCTGATCCATTCCTATTTGAACCCAGGAGAGGAGGCTGTTCTGGTAGACACCAAATTTTCCACATCCACTTTTACCTCCATTTACACCTACTTTTGCCTCAGAGGCCTTTGCTCAATTCTTCTCTAACTTTTCCTCTTATTCTGTCAATTTGGGAAGCAGTCCATTATTGCTGGTATAACTGGAGGTAGAGGTAGAAAAAGAGGAGGTAGCCAGGGGGCTTCATTCTCTGTCAATTTCTTCCCTCCTCTACCAATATTGCAACCCCCAAATAGTCCCCATCTCAAGGGCCCTGGAAAAAGAAGGGTCCCTCAGCCTGATGACATGGACTTGAATGATAATGGTGACCTAGAAGAAGCTGCTCTTGTAAAGATTGCTTAAGATGTCCCTCCACTTTCCCAGCCCTGCTTCTCAATTCATGGCTAGTGGCCTTTGCAGCTGGGTAAACTCACGCCAGAAGGTCCAGAACGTGGGTCCTCTTATCCCCAGATCCCTGCACTGGAACCTTCTTATCTTCTCCCCAAATTTTCTCCCTGACATGGAATTCAAGATATTTTTCACCTTGAATTTCACTTTCCGTTTTCCACAAACCAATCTTCCCTAAGCACCTTGCTCATGTTATCAATTTGAGAGCACCCACTCTCTCCTAAACTAAACCTTTCTTGAGTTTCGTGGAGATCGTGGGCCCATTTACACAATGGGGAATGAGGAATAAAAGCTCCCTGAGTCCTCCCCCATTCGTCCCCATCCTGAAGAGACCAACGATGCTGCTTGAGTCTGGGACTTTGTGTCAGCCTAAGGCAGTTTTTCTAAAAGTATGGGCCAGAACTGGCTGGGATCCTTGTTATAATTCAAGAGGTTTTACTTCCATTCCAAATTCTAGGAGTTAGTGACTCTGAGAGATTGAACACAAGAATTTAATAAACTCTTAGATAATTCTTCTCTAACCTAAATTTGACTTCTACTCATCTAGACACTGAGGTGTCTGATCCTCAAACAAGATGGATGGAACTTCTTTTCAAATTTCAGTGCAAACTAATGTTCTGGTTTGCGATGACTTCCCAGTGTTTGATCTATTCATTCCTTCAAAGCTCTGTCCACTCTGTCCTCTCTCAGCAGCATAGAGAGGATTGCTGCCTGCACTCCCAGTTTTCCCTCATTTCTCTGCAATATGAATGTGTCCCCTTCTCATTTCACAAGGTCAAGGACTGGTGACTCTGAGTGGTCCTAAGTGGCAACAGCACCGCAAGATTTTGAAGTTTGGCTTCAACATCAGCATTCTGAAAATTTTCATCACCATGATGTCTGAGCATGTAGAGGTGATGCTGGTAAGAAAGATTCCTATCAGGTACAGGTGATGCTGGTAAGAGAAGAGAGATTCTCGCTAGGTTCTGCAGGGAGTTTCCACCAGTCACATGGAGTAGGAGATTCTGAGCTCCCACAGAACTATGATCACAGTCATTGATGGGGTCACATGATCCTTGGGCCATGAGCATCATGAAGACCTGCCGAATTATATACCCTGCATCTGTCACTGGGGTGGACTTGGGGTAGGTGCTTAATAAGAGCTACTTGAATGAATAAGTCAAATAGACTCACCAAGTCGGGAAGAGTACAAGGCACAAAGGCCAAGCATCATGTCCTATGGCTCATACAACAAGTAGGAATGCCAATACCGGGGACAGCCCCATGCTCAGGAGCAATCAGGAAACACTTCCTAAGGAAAGTGACTGTAACCAGGGCTTGGATAATCAGCTAGATAGATATGGGTGTCAGAGAGAGAACAGGCCACTAGGAAGGGGGGGAATGGAGTTTTAGCTTCTTCTGAGGTAGGTAGAGGGCAGAGGCTTCATGAGGCCACAGATAACCCATAGAGAAGACAGTCTCCAAGCCTGTCCTCTTGGAGGTTGGGTGGCACGTGCATTCAAAGCTAGCATGTTTCAGCAGTCCTGACAGGTGGTATGAGAACTTAGAGCCTATTTACAGATTGTAACTGTCTCAGGTGAGCCAGAGAAGCAACCAAACCTGACTTCACAGTGAAAGAAAAGATCTTGTGATTTCAGAAGGCTGAATTCTGTGACCTGTAAGCTGGGTCCAATGAAGTAAAGGGAACAAATTTTCTAGTTTTGTGTGAGTTGGCACCACTTAGAAGGTGCAAACAGAGAAAATAATAGTAGTAGCGTTTTGTTGTGCCAGCAAGCACAGCCAGATTCACATTCAATTCGGGCAGATGGAGAGAGAGTCCTGGATCCGTCACTGGATTTTTAAGACTTTAAAGCTCTCAGGGAACCAGGTACACAGGCCGTTAGGCAGGGAGGCTGGCATGCAAGGAGGCAGGCATGGGCCAGGCAGGGGGGGCTGCTATGAAGCAAGCAGGAAACCGAGCCTCCCAACTCCTCATGAATCTTTTTCTCTGGTGTTCTCTTATGGTCTTGCCTGTTTTGCAGTCACTCGTGCCCTTGTATCCTCCCCCCATAGCCGTCCTCTGCCTCTGAATGATGCCGCCCTTATATCCCTGCCCTCTAGGCTCAGGTGTGCACACTTACAGATGCGTGCACACCCATGCTCCAGGTGTCCACAATCAGACATGCATGCCCCACACCCATGCTTACAAGCACCTTCTGCATCAACACGATGAAGGCTGCAGGTGATAGCCACAGAAGCTGGAAATGTAAAAAGCCTGATCAACTTCATTTACACTACACCTTCCTTGGTCACTTAGTAGATGTCAGACACTGGGTGATCTACATGCAGGACTTCAGTTCTATGTGCAAAGACTCAATGAAACAATGACATGGGGTCACCTAAGTAAGTCACCTTTCAGTATATGACTCGCCTTGGATTTCAGCCTGTTCTGATGGCCCCATATTTTCAAGGGTGCCACACTGCTGCCATTTCTGACATTGTCACCATGCCCACCTCACATTCTAAAATTAAAATCAAAGCGAAACATACAAATGCAGTGATAGCCAATCCCTTATGAAGCACTATTATCAGGCTCATTATATCCTCTCATACTGCAGTCTTACAGCTTTGGTATTATTATCCCTATTTTTCTATTAAGGACTTTGAAATTTAGAGATTTAACAGTTTGTTCAAGGTCATAAGGCAAATTAGAGGCAGAGCTGGGGTTCAAATTCAAGCCCCCATATGGAGCACAAACTGGACCCAGGGACACAAAAGAACTTAGAAATTAGAACCAAACGGGTATGGGTAGAGTTGTCATCTCTTGCCCCAGGACAAGTGGGAGAAGTTCACGGCCCAGGACCCCTATCTGGAGATCTCTGAACACATCTCCATGATGACCCTGGACAGCATCATGAAGTGTGCCTTCAGCCACAAGGGCAGCATGCAGAAGGACAGGTCAGTGATCAAAGAAAAGGACTTGCTCACTAACAGCCTTGTCTCCCGCTGAGATGATGTCCCTTCTCTCCTCTTCCAGCACCCTCAACTTCTACCTGGAAGCCACGTTCAACTCAGCAACCTCACCTTCCAACATGTGCATAATATTCTGTATCACAATGACCTGATTTTCAAATTGACTTCTGAAGGCCAAGTCTTTTCTAAATCTAACCAAGCCGTTCACCAGCACACAGGTACGTCCTGGGCTCGGCCTTGCCTGAGTCCTCTCTGAGACATTGCATTGTGTGAGACACAGACCCCGGTTAAGGATGCCTCTGTTGTGGACATAGAGCATGGCCCTCATTTAGAAATTAATTCTGAATTAATGTGCTACAAAAATTGTTGGTAGAGAATATTACATTGCTGAGAATGTATCTGCATCGTAATGTTCAGAGTAAGAATTAATACAATAAGCAAACATCACTATTTGCTTCGTTTGTTTGTTTTACTTCACAGCTGAAGCCAGAAGAAATCTGGCTTCGGATTTGGCTTCGGCAGTGAAGTGGCTTCAGCTGTGAAGAAAAACAAAAGTACAAGGAGGCAAATTTCTGTAGGAAGATGAGGCAGGATGACTTCTGAATAAGCACAGGGCATATGTGGGTGGCACGCTGTACTCAGTTTATCACATAACAAAGTTCATCCCTGAGTATTCCCTTGCATGGGTTTTGGGGCTTTGGGCATGGACAATTTAGGGGAATCTACAATATGCCTACCATAATACCCATTTAGAATTATTCCATATCCCCAATTTTCACTTTATGTTGATGAAATTTGCCTCTCTTTCTCTTATAATGCTTGTCTTAAAATAGACTTTGTCTAATATGATTATAAATAACCCTTTTTTCTTTTGGTTAGTAATTTAATAGTATATTTTTCTATCCTTGTGTGCTACATTTCTGTGTTCTTGTATTTTTATACAATGCATATCTAGGTTTTGTTTTCAATCCAGTCTGAAAATCTTCGTGTTTCAGTTGATGCATTTAATCTATTTATATATTTATATATCATGCAATAATTGAAATATTGATAAGTTTGAGTCTAAACCTACCATATTACTATGGTGCTTCCTATATAACCTGTTTATTTTTTATTCTTTTTAACTATTTTGAATTACTGAATCATTTTATAGTATTTTGTTTCCTGTTTTAGCTTATAAGTTTTCCTTTCATTTATTTTTAGTGGTTAAGGCAGAAATTACATCATGTAGTCTTCATTCGTTATTAAACACTTGCATAAATTATTACATTAAACACTTCCTTGAAAGTGCAAAGATGTTAGGACATTTGCACTCTGCTCCTTCCATCTTTAATATACTTTTGTCGTGTATTTTCCGTCTATGAATGTTTTAAACCCTAGAAGACATAGTTATTGTTGTTTAATGTCATCAGTACTCATTTACAGGAGTCCACGCACACTTTCCAATGCTGTTCATTCCACTGTGCATTTGTGTGGTCGTTTTGCTTGTTAATTTGTTGTTTTTTCCCTGGTTTTGTACCCATTTCCTCTTTCTTGAAACTCCCTGCAGGATTTCTTTTATGAACCTGTCAGTGATGAATTGTTGCTGGAGAGCAACTTTATTCCCTTTCCTTTTCAGATGAGAATTCTAGGTTGGCAATGAATGCTGCCAGGGTTACCTACTGAAGTTATTATTTACACCCGGTAGAATAGGCTTGACCTGACTTCCTTTGATGACAAAACTAGATAAATCCACCTACAATTTGTGTGAACAAGTGCTTTCTGTTTTCTTAGTTGTAATTTGGAAATAATATTACCTACACTGCATAGTTTATAATGGGATAATGTTATGTATAGCCATTAAGGACATTTCCTAACATATCAGGTGCTCTAAAGAAATTCTCATCTCTTCCCTATGAAAGTTACAAAAGCAGACAGACCTATAATAATACATCAACAATTTTGTTAATGTACCAGCACACAAAGCAAGGTCAGGAGGAACTACCCATAAGACTTAAATGAGTTAGATTCTACAACTATCCTATAAGGCAACCAGAATGATGAGTATGTGTCTGTGTTATGCTGCTGCAGGCAACTTTTCACCTGAACACACACAAGAAAAGAACTGATAAATCAACTGTGTTTACCCAATATAGTCTAAGGGAGCAGAACTAATATGTGACTGAGACAAAGGAATCACCTGCTCACCTATAGTTTTGGTATCACAAAACAAAAGGAAGGGACTGATTTTCCTTAAGATTTCTCTCTATGGTTTTTTTTTCCTCCTTCTCTCACCTCTGACATTCAATCCGATGATAGTTCTACAACAGGCTCCACCATTAGATATAATATCTCAGCTTTCCCCTAAACATTTCCTTTGAAATACATCTTATTCATTTTTATATAATGAATAGGTTATAGAAACTTTGCTCAAGGATTAGAAATAGTACCTAATATGAACAAATTATACAACATTGAACTCTACTTATATGCCAAGCATCTCCAACCTTGACAACAACTTTGTATGTTACTTTTGAATATGCTTATTTGATGAGAGATATTATGATTCAAAATCTGTTGACCAGGCATGGGCCCATTTTAAAGAAAAAGTATAGTTCATGGTACCACCCATCACTACCTCAGAAAGAGGATAAACTAGAGGATCAACATAGAGCATCAGCCTCTCTGAACAGCATTTGGCTTTGATGGGCTTTCTAGAAACCATGGTAATTAAAATATATAAAAATATGTATTTTTCCTCCCATCTAGAGAAAATAATCCAGGACCGGGAAGAAATGCTTAAGGGTGAGCCCAAACAAGATGCTACCCAGAAAAGATACAATGACTTTCTGGACATTCTTTTGAGAGCCAGAGTAAGTCTCCCAACTTTTGAAAACACTTAACTAATAATTAAATATAAAGAAATAAAATTAAAGTAACAAATGTATTAGAAAAACCTGCTTGATTTGATGGATGTAGACTGAACTGATCTTGTGAAGATAAGATTCTCTGCTTCTGGGGCTTTGCAGGCTTCCAATATCACATTTTAGTCTCCCTGTTCCCAAGGTCACAGCTACTACAACCTTCTTCCTAAACATGTGATCCATAGACCAGCTGCACCAATAAAGGATTAATCCTACCCTCAAGGATTAGAATCTTCTTTTTAACAAGTCCCTAGGTGATTCACATGTAAGTTAAAGTTTAAAAACTCCTGTCTAGAATATAAGGATTACAGTTTATTCCTATCCACTAGTGAGGAACACAGTACTTAGTAATCAGCTCTTGGGGGGTCTGTGTAGTATCAATGAGAAAACCAAGGAATCTTGGAGGTTAAGTAGACCTTGTTCAAATGCACTGTCTACCGCCTCCTTGTCGTGAGACTTTCAGCAAGGACTTCACATCTCAGAGTCCATTTTTTCTTCTGTAAATGAGGTAAAGTTCTAATTTGGCAAGGTTGTACAGATTAAATAGAGAATCCCTCAAAACAATCATACTTGATAGTCGCATATACTTGACCATTGTAGTTGACAAGGCCAGAAATCCTATAAGGATCCAGTCGGTTGATAATATGTAAAGATTCTGACACATGGTAATAAAAACAAGTTACCACTTATTAACTTGCTTATGCACCAAGAGCCTCAAACTTTTACTAGAATAACCCTGCAAGGTACCTTTGACCAGCTTTGAGTGAAGAGAAACTGTGACTCAAAAGGTAAAGTCAACGGCTCAAGGTCACATTCTTAGAAAGAAACAAAATTAGGATTTGAGACATTTCTCCCTGAGAACACAACCCTTGCTCTTTTCATGGTACCTTAAAGATACTCTGTGTTAAATAGAATTTACCACCCTCATCTGTCAGTGTTTAGTAAACCTTTGCTGAATTAAATAGACCTGGATTATTTAAGGGAACAAAAAACTATTCTTTGTACCCAGTGCTCATTATGTTAGCCTACTAAGTTCTAAATCAAGGCTATAGAGAAGGGGGCAAGGGGAACCTGGAAACTGAATAGAATTTTCAGAAGTTGATGACTTTCAAAATAATATTTTCTGGTTATAAAAATAATATACTTTCATTATTTAAAAATTGAAAAGACAGAAAACAGTAAAGGGAATGAAAGTTATCAGCAATCCCATTTAGTAATATGTGTTTTCTTTCACTGTATTATCTATTCAATATGTATTTCTAATACTTTTTTTTAAGAATATTGAGTCACAAGCTTCCCTGTTATCAACAAGAAATTATTCAGGAACATAATTTTAGTTGCTACATAATTCTCACTTCACAGATGGGCCATAATTTATTTTACCTTTCTCTATTATTGGCCACTTAGGACCTTTCCAATTTTTGACTATGATATTAAGTATCCTTTACATAAATTTCTTGGGCAATTTTAGATGTTTTCTTAGAGTTTACTTCTTTAAGTAGAATTACTATATCAAAAAATATGAACATGTGGAACTTTTGATTCATTCTGCCCAACTGAATTCTGTTGATTTGTAGATTTTTTTTTTACAAAACCCAGTATTTTGATGTACATCTAGTTAAGTTTTGAAAATAGTAAAAATTTTAAAATCATACCATATTCAATGAATTAATTTTGAATTTGAAAGCATTAACCTTTTCTATGACCAGTACGATGATGGAAGGAAATGATTACCCATAGTCAACTTTGTATACAGATCATCATCATATTTTTTCAGAGTGAAAACAGAAAAGACTTTTCTGAAGAAGATGTCTTGGCTGAAGTGAAAACATTCATGTTTGCAGGACATGACACCACGTCCAGTGCCATCTCCTGGATCCTTTACTGCATGGCAAAGTACCCTGAGCACCAGCAGAGATGCCGGGACGAAGTCAGGGAACTCCTGGGTGATGGGTCTTCTGTTACCTGGTAAGCTCTGTGTCCCAAATCTGATGTTTCTCCTCAAAACTTAATTTTCTCTTCTGGCTTCAAGGAACAAAATAGTGTATAGAGATCATATGTATCTATTTAAAAGGGTAAGAAGGGAAGCTAGTACCCTATGTTGTTTTAAAGATAGTCACTAATCCTATGCAGAAAAATACTGTGTCAATCAGACAGGACGTGGTGGGCCTTGTTTCATTACTTTTCTCACATCAGGCAATGGTGCCAGGGCAGAAGGGATGGTCTCCTGGCTTGTTTATGTTATGGAGGGCAGGAATATGAAAGGGAATTCTTGGAACTTTGGACTTGACCAAATAGATTGTCCAAGTGAGCAATCTAATGACTTAAGGAGGAAAGGAACACACACCCATCCTATTCCTTTGTCAGCATTCCCTATTTGGGGTGTTGCCAGGATTTGAATCTTACACTAAAAAGTCTAAACAGCAGCTTTAGCATTCTGAGTCTCCTTGGTTGTTGGGTATCTCATGGTGCTAATAAAGCCAAATTGATTCATGTGTTGAAAACTTTTCAAATTGTCAAACATAAGACACATTTTTAAAAAGTATAAGGAATACAATGTACATTTTAAAATGTTGTGTAACAAACACCAACATATTCCCACTCTGGCAAAAAAATATATATATATTTATATATATATAAAACCAGTGCTGCCAGAAACCACAAGAGGTGTTTTCCTGACTTACATTGTTTGTTCTTGTTTATACTTTTGTTGCCTAAGTATGCAACCACGGACACTAGAGTTTAGTGTTCCTTGTATTTGAGGAGTATAAAATTGTACTTTCTTTTGGCTTCCTTTGCACTTTTGTGAGAACCACTCATGTGTCAGAGTCACTGTTTTTCAGATATTTTCCTTTTATGAAATTCCACTATGAATATACCACAATTCATTTATCCATTCTAGTGTTGATGACCATTTCCAGAACATTCTACCGCATAGTTTTTATAATTTACAGTTACCTGCTAAAATTTTCATTCATGAATTTTATCTCCTGCTAAGTAAGAAAAAAGATTTTTAAATTAAGTTTCATAATTTCAATATCTAGAATCCCTGTGGATCTGTATTTGTGTGTGTTATTTCTTGCTGAGGTTTTGTTGTTGTTTTTTTATGTTGTCTGGGCTTATTTTGTATCTGGCTAATTTTTACAGTGTAACAGACAGATTATTGGCTGAATTGCTCATAGGCTTATGATGATGTAAGTTTCTTCCAGAGAGGATCTCATTTGTTTATGCCAGGTGCCTATAATCATGCAACTCAGAGTCCCCTGAATGTAAATGTAGGAATTTGGATAATTAAAAACTGAGCTGTTGATCCAGGAACTGTTTGTGTACTTCTGGTTTACTCTTTACCAGGTGCCATCTTTAAATTCCAATTCAACACAAGTAGATTTCCCAAGCATCTAGACTCAGAGGGTCCTGGACTCTATTTCTTGTCCACTTAGCCACAAGAGGCTGCCCACAGCAGCTCTGAACCTCTCAGATCAGCTTTCTGGAATTGGCAAGTCCCCACACATCAGGATCCAATCTCTTCACTGCCCTCCTCCCTCTGACCTGTGTCTCCTCATTATGTCATTAGTGCTCTGATATGTTCAAGCTGTGTGTGAGTGAGCGTGTGTGTGTGTGTGTGTGTGTGTGTGTGTGTGTGTGTGTGAGTGTCTGTGCATGTGTGCTGCAGGTTGGAGAATGGGGTCCAAATTTTCTGGTTTTCAGAGCTGGAGCTTGGGTCTGAATTATTTAGTACACTATTACCAGAAACAAAAATCTATTCAACCTTGATTGGGATGTTTGTATCTTCTTTCCTTTTTATCTATCATTGTCACCAGAGGCTTCCTAAATTATTAGTCTTTTCAAAGAACATTTATTTAGCATTCCTAACTTTGTGGATTTTATGCTTTTTATTTCCCTCATTTTTGCTTCTCTTGTATTCGATTTTTTTCTTCTGCTTCTCTACATTTATTTGGCATCCCACGCACTTAATTCCGGGTGCATCCCTCTGCAGCTCCAGACGTGTGCTGACAGTGGGTGACCACTGGCCTTCCCCAGGGAGAGCCCCAGGTTCTGAGTCATAGCTCAGTTCTACTGTTACACCAAAAGCTGGGCTTTCCCCCCAAAATACCATCTCTGGGTCAGAGCAGCAACCTCAGCAAATAGCTCCTCACTTCTGGGAAGGTAATCCTTTCCATGATTCCCTCACAATTGAGTTACCTCATTGATGCTTTTAAAAATAGTTTTTAAAGTTTCATAAGTTTTTCCCCTCACTCTTCGTCCAGAGGGGAACTCTGTGTTCCTACTACACTCTAACCAGAAGTACTAATTTGTTCATCATAGAAGAAAACCCAGTCAGGATATAAGCAGAACCCACAAGCCCATCCAACTAACTCACAGATGTGAATTAATGTCCACACCACACAGTAGGTGTCTGGGGCAAGACTCCTATATCTGAGAGAAAAACTTTCAGTTACATGTGTGAAAACTGGCTCATGTTAACATTTCGTTTTTCCTAATAGAAGAGTGATTTGGCCCATCAGAGTCCTCTTTTGGATAAGGAAAAAAATTAGTCCTAACAAAAAAGAGAAAAAATGGGAAAAAGCTAGGCTTTCAATCCTGACCTCCTCTCCCCATCCCCGGTGTGCGTCCACCAGGGAACACCTGAGCCAGATGCCCTACACCACCATGTGCATCAAGGAGTGCCTCCACCTCTACCCACCCATCACCAGCGTGGCCCGGAAGCTCAGCGAACCCATCACCTTTCCAGATGGACGCTCCTTACCTGCAGGTCGTAAAACAACACACTCATGTCTCCAAACGACATTTGTCTTTAGAATCTGTGATGGTTTGGACCAGAGGGGTTCCTAGTTCTTAGAGGGAGAAAAAGAGCAGAGAAAGAGCAGAGAACACTCAGGAGGTCTAAGATAATCAAGGTGCAAAGAGCAGAATTCTGCCACATGCACAGAGGGAGGGGCCGGAGGCTTAATAAGGCACCATGGCTTTAGTGCTGGGCCTTGAAAGACGAGATGAGAAGGCAGCATTGCAGATAGGTTGAAGAATAGACATGAAGCAGCAGCTGCCTGCCAGCTCCCCTCCCTGTCCACACCAGCAAGGTTTACTAGAGCCACTCCTGCAGCCACCAGGTCCCAGGAGCCACCGAGGAAAGCTGTGGGACTCAAATAGAGCCGTGACAAAGCCAGGGCACAGAGCCGAAGGCCAAGCTAACGTGTTCAGCCTGGGTTGATCAAGCAGGAGACTGAGGCTGAGCTGGGTGGCGTGATTATAGTTCTTCTTTTAGGAAAGTTAACTTGCCAGTGAAATGCAAGATGGGTTAGAAAAGATAATATTAGAGACCTGAATGAATAGGCTGTATTTTATCTTTGACCTATGTTGAAGTATTTTACTATGCTTCCTCCAATCTTAATGCTCTTTCAAATGCTAAGTTTGAGTGGACAATTGCAGTGGTCCTGATAAATGCAGCAGTATTTCATGACAGCTGTGCTACTATAGTTGTGTAGTGGCAACTAAATGTTTGTGTCCTACAAAATTAACTTTCCTAATGCAATGACAAACAATTAGGGCCTCCCCGGTGGCGCAGCAGTTGAGCCCCGGGTTGCAAAGCTCCCCGCGGCCTCTGCGGCGCCAGTTCGATCCCCGGCTGCTCCCCAGCCACCGGAGGAGGGTCCCACATGGCAGACCTCTCCTGCCTCCCGCTGCCCCCCTCAGCAGTGTACTTCGGTCCTTCTGCCTGCTCTGCTCCCCACTCTGGCTTTGGTGAATTCTCTCACCCTCCCACGCTTCTGACTGTACCCAGTGCATGTATAAACAAACAAACAAACAAATAAATAAACAAATAATAAAATAAAAAATAAATAAATAAAAATATAAAAAAGCAAACAATTATATAATATTTAATACTAATTAATATTGTAGACCTTACAAATATAATACCAAACTTTCCCTGATAATAAAGAATACATATTCCTTTCAAATGCAGATAGAACAGTCCTTAAAGTTGGCTGTAGATCAGTCCGCCAAGAAAAATGTAATTCTCAAAGAGAAACATTACAAAATAAGTCTTTAAGCCCAATCAAATAAAAATGAAATTTGATAACACTTTCCAAAAGGCTCACTCACAAGGAGACTTAAAATCTGTTAACTCTTCCAGATGGTCTCACTCATAGCAGGAATCTAGAAAACTTAAATAAGAGACCAGGAAAAAGAATAACTGTAAGAAAGAAAAAAATTTTAAAAAAAATCAAAATTGACAAACAACTATGACCAGAGACACTTTATGGAGGGTGGGGGGGCGGGGAAAGGAAGATTTGGGGTCAAAATAAGGGGGTTGCGATTGTATGGGGAATATAAAAATAAAATTTAAAAGAAAAAAAAATCTGTTAACTCTTGAGGCAAAGAAGAATATGAAACAAGTCACATCAGAACTACCTATGAGAATCAGTAGGTCCACTACTACAGCAGTATTCAGAGACAATGTTATAACAATAAATCTTTTATGCAAAATACAAGAAATAAAATAAATATTGATGTCCAAAATCTGAAAAACATTACAGAGTGAATTCAAAGGAAGAATTAATGAAGATAAACACAAAAGACAATGCTTCTGAAGGTAAAAAAGCTCTACAAATAATAGAATGTAATAGCTGATGCGGGGAGGGTTTCCAGCAGTGGTGAGATTTAAGTTCTGTGCACATAGATTTGAAAAACTAAAAACTGAGATAAGAAATTTCACAATATATCTTTTACCAAAACTGATCATGGTAGAGAAAAATAGTGTAAATGTGCCAATTTAGAACTAGAAAAAAAATTACAGAGAAAATTTTCAGAGCTCTTAAAAAGGAACCAAGTTTATCCAATTTTGCAGAAAATTTTCAGCCCTTTAAAGACTATGGGGGGGCCTCCCCGGTGGCGCAGCGGTTGAGCGCTGGGTTGCGAAGCTGCCCGCGGCCTCTGTGGTGCCGGTTCGATCCCTGGCTGCTCCCCGGCCACCGGAGGAGGGTCCCGCATGGTGTGCAGACCTCCCCTGCCGCCCGCTGCTCCCCTCAGCAGTGTACTTCGGTCCTTCTGCCTGCTCTGCTCCCCGCTCTGGCTCTGGTGAATTCTCTCACCTTCCCGCGCTTCTGGATGTACCCAGTGCATGTATAAACAAACAAACAAACAAATAAATAAATAAATAATAACATGCCTCTATATAAAAAAAAAAAAAAAAATTCTAAAGACTATGGGGACTCCCTGGTGGCACAAGGGGTTAAGATGCAACCTATGAAGCTGTCTGCAGTCACTGCAGCACGAGTTTGATCCCCGGCCAAGGACCTACCCACATGATGCAGCAGACCTCTCCTGACTCGCCCGCTGCTCCCCTCAGCAGTGTACTTCAGTCAATCTGCCTGTTCTGTTCCCCGCTCTGTCTCTGGTGAGTCTTCTCATCCCCCACTCCTCTGGCCTGTACCCCAGTTCTTGTATACATAAATAACTACATCTTTAAAAAAGATAAAGACTATGTATCTCAATACTACTGAAAACTGTCTAGAGCATAGAAAAATAAAAAGGGAAACTGGAAAACTTAGGGAAGGATAACATTGACAACAGACTTTATAAAGATTTATAAAGATTTATAAAGATTGCACAAAAATATTTTTAGATAAATCTCATATACATCAATACAAAAATTCTCAATATCAGTAGACAGAATCTAAATAAATAAAATACATAAAAATGGAAAAACAAGGGTATCATGACCAATTAAGTTGGTCATATTCCAAAACTGCAAATGTAGTTCAGTATCAGGAATCCACTAATATAATTCATTTCATATCAGCTGTCCTCATGCGGTTCAATGGCTACAAAGTTTAATAAAATTCCATCTGACTGACGAGAAAAGCTAAGAAACAAAACAGTAAACGATATATTCATCCTCTGCTTAAACTTTTCAGATTTTAAAATCCTTGGCATGACCTTTACTGCTTCATGGCACAGGCCAGGCTGACCTCTCCAGGCTGATCTTTTGACACTTTCCTCCCTGAGCCTTATTATACAGCCTCCTGGTCACCCATAGTCCCCATGCTTTCTCAAATCTCGATGCTTTGCTCCCTTCCTCAAGCTCCTAGCCAAATCCTCGTTATTTGATTTGCTTCTGCCAATTTCATGATACTCAGTTCAGAAGGACTTGCCTGGGCCTCTTTCCTTAAAGGGCCCTGGGCTCTGAGGATGAGGAACCCCTCACGATTCCCAGAGCATCCTGGGCTTCCCTCTGACTCATTACTTTGTGTTCCAATTGCTCGTCTGGCTGAGCTCCTTGAAGCCTGGAATAGATTCTATTGGTCTCCTTAGGGCCGACAGAAGGGTCTCTACAATGAATGCTTCTGAAATAATTAAATAAATGGTAAATGTATAATTCTTCCCCTTAATTAAGACATTCACGAATGGGTGAGGCTGTGACAGAATCTTAGCTCATATGCTTTCTCCCTTTTTACTCTGTTTACTCAGGAATGTCCTTGTTTCTCAATATTTGGGCTCTTCACCAAAATCCCGCTGTCTGGGAAGACCCTCAGGTAAGATTATCTCAAATCCCACCTGGTGTCTCTAAGGGAGTCCATGGCAAGAAGGAAGAGAAGCACCGCCACGGTGGAGGGCACATCTACATGTTAGGAAAGAACAAAACCCCTATATTCCTAAGAGAAAAATATGTCCCCATTTGCTGTCATTGCCAGTGTCCCATGCTGAGGCTCCTCACCAGAAGCCTGTCATCCCCTTTCAGGAAGTTAGGAGGTCAGAGGAACGGGGTGGATGGGTGGATTGACACTGTGCTGTTTAACCACGCTGTGCCCTGCTTTCATTTTCTAATGTAGTCAAACTCATCATGGATTGGGATGTCTCGCAAATAATTTCTTACTGGTCATAATCAAAGAAGCAACATTATGAACTCTGTTTTTTAAGGATTATAGCATATTTGAGGCTAACTCTTTGGGAGAATTGTTCTCACTCATACCCAGGGCTAACCCGACACTGAAAAACAAAGCACTGGTGGGGAAAAGCAAGTTCCTTGGCCCCGCCAGTGCTCTGACCAACCACACAGTCCGAGAACAACAGGATATACTAGTCAGAAACCCCACACCCTCCACCAGATGCTGGGGCAGGAGCTGGGTGACTGGCATTTGATTTGCACCCCCCACCATGTTTTGCATAAGTCATAAGCTCTGTCCACTGGGAAATAAGGAAAAGGAAAAAGTTAAAAATGTGATTGTCAATTTTATATGACAACAGCACTTATTTACTATAAAGGGAAAATAGTGAAGTCAATAGATTTGGTCAAGCCTGATTGTGTTTTATTGTCTTAATGATTCACTGCTGTGTTTAATCATAGTGACCTGTTTAATCTGTCAGTAGTTTACATCCCTGCTTCCTCCAGATGTTTTCAGTGGCAGATGTTGGAGAGCATCAGGTTGGGCTTATAGTATCCAGCCTTTGTAAATTCCTATAGTTAACTTTTGGAATTGTGTTAACAATGTGTGTAAGGATTTTTGGGGGGGAGGGGGTGGGGATTGGGGATTGTCATTTTCATTACAGGTCTTTAAGCCCTTGAGATTCTCCAAGGAAAATTCTGAAAAAAGACACTCCTATGCCTTCCTACCCTTCTCTGCTGGACACAGGTAAAGACTCAGATGGTGAACTTGATGGAAACATATTATAGTTTTACCTGACAGAAGTTCGCTCAAGTAAGCCCACAGCTAATTGGCCCTCCTGTGGCTCCCCACCATTTACCTAGCCTGTCTTCTTTTGTGGCCAGTGAGTTTGGATGAGCCCTAAAGAAACCATGCTGTCGCAAAGCACAACTCTGTTTCTTAGTATATGGGCATGCACAGTAGGCCCAAAAACTACTCTTCAATTTACAGCAGAGAGTTGGTGATACCACCTTGTTAAAGGGACAAGGCAACACTGGCATTCCCAACTCTCATTCCTGCAGGGTACAGTGTTAGTCTAAGTTACAAAATTCCCTTTGCCACATAGCATGAGAAAATTCTATTTTCACGAATGATATCATAAGCCACTGAATGGGCCAGCCTTAATATTCTCATGACTGAGACTTCAACCTTAGAGATTTCTAAATGATAATAAGAACTAGCTTTTCTTTATGATAATCTCAGGGAAAGTTTCTAGTTCTATGGATCATGCAGAATCAAAATGTTGGTACAAGTCATTACCACTTACTAAGATGGGCACAAATAGAACCAATGTTTCTTGACACTAAATGGGCATATTAAGATAAAACCTTTACTAGATTCTGCCACAAACATGGAATCAGTTTCAAATTTCCCAGCAAAAGTTGTTATATATGAAAAGATTGTCTCAGGTTTCTAATAACATATTAATTCACCAGCTACCATATTTCCCCCTTGGTCTCTCCAGGAACTGCATTGGTCAGCAGTTTGCCATGATTGAGTGCAAAGTGGCCCTGGCCTTGATTCTGCTCTGCTTTGAATTGGCTCCATACCATGCCAGGCCTCCCATATTCACACGCCAAATTGTCTTCAAATCCAAGAATGGAATCCATGTGTTCCTAAAGAAAATTTGCTAATTTTAAATCTTCTTGCATAATGAGTAATGAAACAGTTTTGCTGCCAACAAAAGATTAAAAAAAGATAAATATAACACAAAAATATATATATGGTTTGGGTATAAATTGTATAATTTAGGATCTCTTAATTGGTTTTAAATTATTAGCAGTAATTCTAATTTTTTGCTGGATCCTATAAATTGCCATAAAAATATAACAAAACACTCAAGCAATGTCAACTGCAAAAGGAAATTATTGGCTCATGTAACTAGTGGTAGGGTGGTTTCCAGGTATATTTTGATCAAGTCTCCAACTCAACATCTCTGCATTAATTTCATTGTTGCAAATCTGTTTGTCCTCAGTTATCTTCCCTCATAATAGCAAATAACTGTACCACTCAGAGTGCCTCATTATGTCCTCTAGGGAATGAATAAATTGAGAAAGTGCTATCAGAATCCTAGATACTTAAGAGGAATTCTGAATACAGATAAGCTTTGCACATGAAAATCCCATTTGGGATATTTAGAGGGTACTATATATACCCTAGAGAACTCTTGCTGAACATGGAGTAAGGTAGATGTGGGGTGTTTAGGCAATGATAGGGTCTACCTAGAACAACCTAGTCCCCAGGTCTGCATGTGCCATGGTAGAGATACAGCAATTCCAGCATATCTGCAGCGGGAGACACACAATTGTTAAGAAAGCCAGAGTACAAGAAGAGGAATTATAGGCCATAGGAAGGTCCAGATCGGAAACAACTGATGTTGGCATACATCCTAAGAGCCAGCAGGGATCACTTAAGCCAGTAGCAATGGGGACAGAATTTGATATCCAAAGTTCAAGGAGGGAGGACACTCCCCTTGAATCTAGCAAGGAACACAGAGGATGGTATGTTGATCTGTGGCACCTTGTTTTACATCCCTCTGTGCCATGACATAGTTCACGCCAGAACCCACAGAAGAAGGAAGATACAGAAAAACAGGATGGAGCCACAAAGGCACTGTATTTATCGACCAGGAGACCAAGTTGCCTGAAAGAATAGGGAGCAACAGCATTGCTCTGAGCAGAGGTAGAAGCCAGGCATCATGACTACACCTCTAAGAGGGAGATTTGGGCTGGGAAATTGGGTGCTGAGAGTGAGTTCCATTTGCACACATTGAACAGGCAGTGCCTGGCAGAACTAAGAAAGCAGATTTCCAAGAGACCGTGGAAACCTAAGACAGACCTGGGCTAGAGGAGGTATTGCCAAATCTCTTAATAATGCCACGCTCTACACTGCTCTGAATATTTTGAATCAATATCTTTGTGACTTTGAATATTTGATAAGATAAATTTTGGTCACAATTCTGAATCTTTGGTCACAATTCCTACTGACCCTGGACACCAGCATCATCAAGTGTGACTTCAGTAACCAAAACAGTGCCCAGGTGAACAGGTCAGTGACTACCAGGGAGCAATCTCATCCCATTCTAGCATTTGCATGCTCCTCCACCTCTTCTTTCCCCAAAGCCCCAAATCCTACCAGAAAGCATTGTTAAACAAGACTGAACTCATGTACTGTGGTCAGCACAATTTTCTGCATCACAGTGATGCAGATTCTGTCATCAGAACTTATGGTTTTTTTTTTTAAAGATTTATTTATGCACACAAGAACTGGGGTACAGGCCAGAGGTGTGGGGCAGGGGTGGGGGGTGAGAGGATTCACCAAAGACAGAGTGGGGAATAGAACAGGCGGACTGACTGAAATACACTGCTGAGAGGAGCAGTGAGCGAGTCAGAAGACGTCTGCTGTGCCATGTGGGTTGCTCCCTGGTCAGGGATCGAACTCATGCTGCAGTGACTGCAGATAGCTTCATAGGTTGCGTCTTAACCCCTTGTGCCACCAGGGAGACCTAGAACTTACGTTTTAATAAATATTGCCTAGTTGTCCATGAGCACACAGGGCTACCTTGAGCTTTGCATTGCCTTCAACTTCCATAAAACAGCCAATGGGCTAAGATGCAACCCCTCGTGCTAGATGCTTCCTCTGTGGTGGCTGAGCAAAATGTGGCATGCCCGTAGTCCTCAAGAAAGAAACTATGACTACACTGAGGCACGGCAGGAACAGAAACCCAAACGCCTAGCTTCCTACCAGAGTCTTGCCACTAGAGCCACCCCCACATCTCTTCAGAGACTGTATCAGTGGCCACTGGACTCACACCCTCACCTTGAGCAGAATCCTCTCAGCGCAGGAAAAGGGGGCTTGCTTCCCTGGCCTGTGTAAGCTCTGCCATCTGCTGGAGAGAAAAGAGAACACAAACAGGCATGTGGCAAAAAAGCAATGCATTTTGTTTTGCTTGTTTGTTTTTCACTCTGTACTTAACCCCAAATTCTATCTGATAGTTTTTGCTGCAATAAAGCACTCTATTTTGTGAGTGAGCTTTTAGAAAGTGTTTGGCCTTAAAGCAAACTGGAATTCTTCCCCCATCCCATGACAGTTAACACTGTGACACAGCTGAAGCTGATAAACATTAATGTCTTCAACCTATCGGGAAACCAAGAGTCAGGATGTACCTTACAAGAGCCTCAGAAATGCTCATACTCTTTGATGGAGTCATTGCAGTCCTGGGAACTTGTCCTAAGGGTCAGAGCTTTGGGGAGGTCGTGAAAAGTAGGGTCACCCAAAGGTGATGTCAGAGCACAGAGAGCCAAGGGGAGTAGCCAAGACCAGGCCTTCAGTCACAATCTAGACCAAGCTGGGACCCCAGCAACTGGGGTGGATCTGTGTGGGTGATCTCTCACTAGTGGCTGTGTGGAAGATGGTTTGGGGTACAGTAAGAGTGAAAACAAGGGCCTCCCTGGTGGCGCAGGGGTTATGTCTCTGCACTATCAAGCTATCACCAGCCACTCCCAACCAGGGAGCTACCCACATGGTACAGCAGACCTCTCCTGGCTCGGCTGCTGCTCCCCTTGTTACAGGGCAGGGAGTAGGGTCCCCCACGCCCCACAAACCTGCCTGCTCTAAATAGGTTCAGCCATCCGTCGCATCAACACAAAACATATGATATGAGACTTTTATGAAAAGAAACTTTAATACAATTAGTAAACAATACAGGAAAGGCAAAGACTATAGTTTCTAAATCAAGCACCCAAAGTTACCCATCCCCTCATGGGTAAAAGTCCACCAAAGCAGGATTGGCCCAGAGCAAGGCCCCAAAGCCTGCCACAAGTCTAAAGCCCCTTTCAGTGGGGACCCACAGAAAAGGATCAGAAACAACCAGACAAGCTGGAAAGAAAAGAGCAAAATCAAAATCAAGACAAAAACCACCATTGTCACCTCCCCACGGGTATGTCACACTGTCCACGACCAAAAGACAAGCACAGTTTCTTCACGTGTCTCTCTGCTGCTCCACGTGCCTCCTCCAGGTCTCCTTCTGGCTCTCCATCCCGCTTCCTTCCTTCCTCCCTCCCTGCTGCAGCTTTTTTTCTCCCTGCTCATCTCCACCCCCCTTGGGTGGGGCAGGAAACCTGGAACCTCCCCCTTTCCTGGGGACCACCCTGTTACACCCTCAGCAGTTTATTTCAGTGGATCCGCCTATTCTGCTCCCCACTCTGTCTCTGGCGAATCTTCTCCCCCCACACACACCTCTAGCTTATACCCTAGTTCTTCTAAGCATAAAAAAATAAAAATAAATCTCAAAAAACAAAAGAGTGAGAACAAGGGGAGTGGAAGGGCTGCCGCAAACCCCTGGGCGAGCTGGAGACCTGGAACACGGATTTGGGATCAGGGAGGGAGCTCTGGCCTGGGTGGATGGTAGGTGGCGCTGCTAACAGGAACAGGGCACTCGGATTGGTGAAAGAGCAGGAATTTCACGCTGGACTGAGGTTCCTATGGAGTTGTTCAGCAGTCATGGGAGGGAATGGAGCAGAAGGTGCTAGTCTGGAAGTTGCTGTCCTGGGAAGTGAGGAAGTGAATGGCATGATGAGGCCCTGCATCAGCATTCAGTGAAGATTTCCTGGGAACCTCCTGTGTTCCAGACCTATGCTGGACGCTTGGATAAACAAGAAAGATGGGTCTCTGCCTCCAGAAGTTCAGAGTTCACGGTCTTGCTCGAGAACAATGCCATGAACATTGCGAGCTGTGAGCCTGTGGGCCTGTGGAACCCCTGAGCTGAAAGCCGGTGGGCAGGAGCAGCAACCCTGAGACGATGGCTGTTAGCCTCTTATGTTGAAGCAGAAGGAGCAGGTAAACCATCAGTGCCCTTGGTGAGAGAGGTCTCGGAAGAGTGTTGGAGGTAAAATGGAGGTTATAGGCATTGAAGAACAAGCGGAAGTGATAAAAAGCAGAAATGGCAAATGTTAACCACGCCTCTTAGAGACCTGATGAGACATCGCCACATTCCCAGATGCACCTGTCCACATGGATTGGAAGTGCTGCAATGGCAAAAAAAAAAAAAAGGAAATATCTATTTTGTTTAGCTCCTCATTTTATACACACACACACACGCACCAGAGAACCTTATACAAGGTAGAATTAACAGTGGATTCTAAAGTTGAAAGCCAGGTTCCAGTGCCACTAATAAGCTGTGTGACCTTGAGCAACTCACCTCCCTCTCTGAACTCTATATTCTCTGGAACATGGGCCCGATTATACCCTGATAGCATCAGAATCAGGCTGCAATCCTGCATACCGTACAATAGCCCTCAGCCTCCATGTGAAAACCACCACCACCACTGTGTTTGGGTTTCACGTAAACCCCTTCCCAGTCTCTTGCTCCAGTTAGTCAGTTCTTAGATTTGTTCCTCAGCTTCTCCCCAACCCCCTCTCTCCCATTCCTCTCTCTTCACGCTGCACCCTCCCTTCCCTTCCCCTACTTTGTCAGCACCTGTCCTCAGGAGCCCCCACCCATATAGCTCACAGCTAGAACCTGTCAAGAGCCCAGTTATTCATTTGCAAAGTCCATCAACACTGTAGGCCTTGAAATGCAGAACAAGCCAGTGCAGCCAGCCCCATAGTGTTGGAGCCTCCAGGAGAATGGCATGTCCTGTACCCCCAACCATGAAGGGCCCATAGCCTGCCTCCCACTGAAGCTTGACCCATGACCTTGGGCAGATGCCATCTGCCCTTAGGCTTCAGATTCCACAGTGAAATATTAATAAATTGGGCTAAATGATTCTAAGGAATTTTCTAGCTCTGATGTGCCATGATCTTTCATCCAATTAAGTTAATCCTATAATATCAATTATAGACATAAAAAGCTAACATTTATTGTGGCTTGCTGCATGCTAGGCTCTATTCTATGCACTTTATGTGCAAGGCTTCTTTTAATCTTCACACCACTTATTTGACTGCTTTTACTGCTTTGTGAGTTGAGGTGTTTTATCCACAGCCACTCAGGTATAATGTCAGAGCACTGCGGTATCCAAGCTGCCTGACCCAGATCTGGGCCCTTGACCTCTCAGTGGCATCGAATTCTAAGGAAAATTCTCTGGCCCAACTGAGCTTCAGACCTGCACAGTGCCCCCAACTGCCCTGCAGTTCATTCCCTGTAGATGTCCCCCAGGCTCGTAATTCTGATGGAGGACAGAACAGAAAAACTGGAAAGGAGGCCTCACAAGACTAAAACCTGACTCACACAAGGAGATGGGGGTCGAGGGGAATAACATGACCATTAACCCAGCTGTAGAGGTCATGACCCTTAGGCACCAGTGCCTTATCACAAGGCATGAGACCCAAGCAGGATCAGACTGCTATAGGGAATGGAGCACAGGCCTGAGGGTAAAGATATGGAGATTGGGCCCACCGTGGAATCTCTGGTCCCTTTCTAGTTTTGCCTGTTACCCAACATTGGCAACAAGCAGGCCACTCCACGGAGGAGTGACCCCTCCCAAAGAGAAAAGGACTATATCAATGTAGCCTCTGCACAGGCTTGGGGCAGCACGTCCACTGCCCACCTGTGACTATGCAGATGCTTCTTTTCACAGACTCCTGCCTGCCCACCAGCCTCCTCCTGGTCCCCTGGACAAACTCCAGTCCCATCCTGAGCAAGGTGGATGGTGGTGGAGCCAGGAACACAGCATTGGATCATGTGGCCTGTGCCTCCACTAAGCAGGTCCTGCAACCTAGGCGCCCTTTTGTGACTCTCACAAAGGTACCATATAGGCTAGCGAAGGGCACTGAGAATACCAGGGAATGGAGACCTGTACATGCCAGGGCTTCTCTTTACTGACCTTCCTCAGGGGAGGCCGCTCTCCTCAAGGCCGCCCACCTGCAACCATGCAGGCCTCTCTTAGCAAACCTGTCCCTTGCCCTTTCCCTAGTAAACCTGTTCTTTAAATATGACGAACGTCTCTGTCTCATGGAGAAACGCGGCTGGGGAACTCACCGTGCGCCGCTGAACCAGGAGCTCTGGTGAAACATTCCCCAGAGTGAACTCAAGAACCCGCAACTCCACAAAGCCCCATCAATTCCACATGCCCAAAATGCATCCTCACCCAACACACACCGCTCTCCATCCCCTGGTATTCTCAGTGCCTTTCACTAGCCTATATGGTACCTTTGTGAGAGTCACAAAAGGGCGCCTAGGTTGCAGGACCTGCTTAGTGGAGGCACAGGCCACATGACCCAATGCGGTATTCCTGGCTCCACCACCTTCCACCTTGCTCAGGATGGGGCTGGAGTTTGTCCAGGGGACCAGGTTCTCGGGAAACATGGTCCCAGATGTTTTGTCATCCCTTGTCCTCTGGAGTAATGTCCCAGGGCAGAAGCCCCTGGGTACTCAGACCATTTCTGGGAGAAAGGGAGGTCTGTGATTAGGAGCAGGATGACTGAGCCCCCAGGAGCCTGGCCCCTGCCAGTAGTGCACAGAAGCTGAGGTGTGCACAGAGTTGGCCTCCAGGGCCACTGAGGACCCTGAACCCATGGGAATAATAAAGACAGTGCTGGCACAATGTGGGGGTCCCTAGGGCCTGTGTCATGGGATAGAATGTCCCACCACTTAAGGGTGAAAATCCCAGCCTGAAGTTCACGTTCAAAGACGGCTGACTCAGAAAAAGAAAAAAAAAGAAAAATACCGGATGGTCTCACTCTTAACAGGAATCTAGAAAACCTAAATAAGGGACCAGGGAAAAGACTAATTATAATAAAGTAAAAATCAAAATCAATAAACAACTATGAACCAGAGACACACTTTGGGGGGGTGGGCGGGGAAAGGAGGGATTGGGGTCAAAATCAGGGGGTTGCAATTGTATGGGGAATATAAAAATAAAATTATAAATTAAAAAATAAAAAAGACTGCTGACTCTGCCCTTCCTGCAGAGTGTGCAACCACCAGATGGCAGCCAGGGCCACAGGCAGACAGAGAGACAGCCCCCACCCCTCCCCAACCTGAGGATGGAGCAGGGCTATTCAGGAGGGCTCATCACTGACCCCAGGACCTTCAACCAGAAACAGAGTGAGTACATGTGTTTGTGAGTTTGTGTGTGTGTCCACATGTATGTCTGTGCCTATGTGGCACTGAGGGGTATGGACAGACACACAGCTGGACAGACTTCAGTCCCCTCCTTCCTTCTCTTCACTACCCCAGGGCTTCCCCACCCTGACCCAGACCTGTCCTGAGTGCCAATGGCACACAGAAGGGAAGTGGCCCCTTCTTTCACTTGAGGAGCTCTGGGCCTGCCCCTGGACACAGGCAAGGTGCGGGGTGCGGCAGAGCTGGCTGGTTAACCCGGAGGAAAGATGTCCCTGACCCGGGGGTGCAGGAGGGGCTTCCCCGAGGACTACCATCTAAGCTAAGCCTGGAGAGCCTGCTGGCCAGTCTCGGGCACCATAACAAAGCACACACCTCTCTCCTCCCAGGAGCCCCACAGGGAAGACATGGCAGAACCAATTTCCCTGGCAAGGAACAGAGCACCTGAAAGGCTAGGTTGTGCCCCCAACAGTGAGGAGCGGAGCTGGAATTTGAACGCACCATGCTCAAGATCTTAGCCACTGTGTGTACTGCCAGGGACTGAAATCTGGAAGCAGAGCTGAGCTAGGGGCGTGGGCCCTGGATCAGATCTAGAGGGGAGGTAGGTGCCTCCCACCCTGCACCCAGAGCAAGTCCTGCTGGTTCCAGTAACTCACATGCCAGCCTGGTCCAAGGGGGTGCAGCTCACCCCCAGCCCTGCCCACACTGAGAGACTCCCACCCCCACCTTCCCCTGGACCTGGGGAGGACACTGCCCAGAGGAAGCAATCTTGAAAATCATCTCAACCACCTGACATCCAGACCTGTAACAGGTGACACTCGGGAGAGAACCCCACAGCCTTCCGCTGAAGTCAACTCCAGACTGGAAGTTCCTCTTCAAGTCTAGCTGAAGTAACCAGAGCTGGGCCCTGCTTTCAAGACAGACTTCCTGGGTGGAGCTTTCAGTGCCTGGCTTTGGGTGTAACCTGTGATATAACCCTATAAATCCATGTGTTGGGGGGTGCAAACCCTGTTCCAGGAAGCAGAGGAGCAAGAGAGTTCTGTGGCAGTAAGAGAAACTCTGGGCCCTCAGCCAGGGCCTGCAACTGGAGCAGAGGGATGAGCCGGAGTTGGGGGGACACAGAGAAGTGAGTCCTATGAGGACAGGGGGCTTTCCTGCCAAAAGCAGTATCAGGGCAGCACAGACTGATGGGGAGAGCAGGAGGAGCAACAGCTGGAGGTAGGTGGAGAGCGGACGCTAGGGAGATGGGACGGTGGGTATGGAGCTCAGGTGGAGGGAGAAGGCGGAGCCGAGACAGAAACAAGAAGAGTAAAACAGAAGCCAAGAGATGTACTCAGGAAGAGACAGAAATTGTGAGACAGAGATCCACAAAGTCTGGGAAAGCCAACGAGGAGCCCAAGTTGGGTGGAAGAGGCCCGACATGGGAAGAAAAGGGTGGGATGGGAACTGGGCTGCGTGAAGGCACACAGGCCATTTGGGGGTTCCTGCCGGCCCAGCCCACCGAGCTGTGGGCGGGGTCCCTCCCCCTCGCCTGTGGCTGGAGAAGCTCAAAATCCCCCTCACCCCCCTCCCCACTCCAGCAGGGAACTCGCCCCCTCAACCCCGCCCCAGCCCAGAGGCTCCCCTCCCCAGGGCCCCCAGCGCAGCCCCCTGGGGACTGGCTGTGTAGCTCCGATAGACAGTGGGGGGGCCCAGCTGGTGCGTTATCAGCCTCCTCCAGGAGCAAGCCTGAGCCACTCAGCGGCTGCCAGTCTGAGATTAGGCCTCTGGAGGGTCATTAAGCACCGCCCTGGCCCAGGCCCAGCCTCCTTTCCCTCCCTCATCTGGCCAGGCTGGCAGGTGGGAAGTAGTGATAAGGATGGGGGCTCCCGCAGTTCTGGGGCACAGAGCTCCATGCCCCCTGGCCCCTGTCAGGGCAGAAACATGGAGGGGGGGGTACGAAGGTCACGGCTAGCCTGGCACCTGCAAGGACTCCCCGTTCCCAGCATCCTGGCCCTGCCAGCATGAAGGAGGAGACTGAGAATGCCCCTTGACAGGGTGTTGGGGATCCTGCCCAGGCTGGAGGGCAGGATAGCAGCTGCCACAGGCCCCGGCTGTCACCTCACAGGTGAGAGTAGCAGGGCTTCTCGTGCTTAAGGAGACAGAGGCTGGTGACTCTGCCTTGGTCCCTGGCAGGTAAGCGGGAGGGAGAGGGTCGACACCAACACCCACCTCCCCTCAGGTACAACTGCAGGCCGTGGAGGTAGGAATGAATGTAGCTTCAAGCAAAGAGAATTAGATCCAGGCAGCCGAAAGGTCTGGCCCATGAGCTGGAAAGAAAGGAGTGTTGGTGTCTAACAGAGGGCCTCTAAGAACCTGACTCTCCTTCAGTAAGGGAGAAGCTCGGTTGGCTCTGCCCTGTGGCCTAATCAGAGAAGACTTCCTAAAAGAAAAAAGAAAAGTTGGCTTGGCTGTGAAAAAAGGGATATGCAGAGTTTAAGCTGGCAGAGGTGGATGAACAGACCCCCATCCATGTGAGCAAAAGCCTAGAGTGGGGATCACAAGAGTGACAACCACAACTCACTGAGCCCAAGCCCAGAGAGGTGAAGCAACTTGTCCTCAGTCACACAGCAGGGCAGCCCCCTGCTCAGGGCTAGTCCCTCTGCTGCAGGCTGCACGTTAACCCCAGTAAGGTGAGAAGGCAGAACTCGGGTTTCAGATGGGTCCCCCCCCACCAGGGGTATTTGGGTATTTGGAACAGCAAAGGAATGGTCGTGATGGTGAATGGGGGCCTCGGCGAGGTTAGGAAAAGAGTGTGTGCCTGGAAGAAGAGTCTCCAAGGCTGAGAGGGCTTCCTGGGTGATCCTCCCAAGCCACCATGACATTGCCTTTGGAAGGGGATTGTCACTATTCAGAAAGCAAGTTGGGGCCTCAATGGAAGACCAAGGGCTGCTTCTGAGACCTAGGAGCCCCCAGAAGTATAAAACATTTTTATTTCACAAAAATGTTCACCATTGGAGGAGACATGAGGCAGGACAGGAAGCCCTGAGCTGACCATCCTCTTCAGAAGGCTCCTGTCAATTGAATTGGATGGGGGACCTCCGTCCCCAGGACATCCAAGGGCGACAGCCAAGTCCTATCCTAGACACAATCTGAGCTCTGATCTTGACAGGCACGATTCAAGGGAGGGGAGGGCAGTGTGGGGTCAGAGCATCCCCTTACTGTGGGTTCCTACACCGAGGACGACCTGGGCATGGACACGGGTGCCTGGGTCTAGGCTGGGGATGCCTCAGGCAAATGGAGGTCACATGGGGGTGCTCCGGACCTTGCCCTCCTCTTCTGTGAAGTTCGCATAGGCATTTTTGTGCTCGGTGGACCTGAAAGAGGGTGGAAGGAGGATGGAACCGCACCTTGACCTTCCCTCCCCCCACCCCCCCACCCCCCCCCGGCATACCCCTCCCCCCACCACCTGACAGTCCTGCGCTTGTGAGGGCAACAGTCCTGAGAGGCCCGGGAGAGGCCCCTGATTACGTCTGGTCTTGTCACCTCAGACTGGAGGCCTCTCAGTGCCACCTTCCCAAGCTCCTCTGAGCTCCCCTCTGAACTCCCCTCCCTGCTGAACCCTTTCTCCACACCTCATCCCATCCCGTCCAGTATCCCCTTCCCTTCCTGAGTTCCCTTTCTCCCTTGGGTCTCTTCTCCCCTCTGCACCCCTCCTCATGAGTCCCAGTGCACCCACTGAACTCCGCCCTCCTCCTCGGCCCTTTCCCTGGGTTCTCTCTCTGAAATGGAGCGTGCGTCTCATGAAGCCCTGCAGTCCTCACAAAGCCCCCATCATTCACCTGCCGCTCCCTCGCTGATGCTCCTCTCATCACTGAGCCTTTCCTAGGAGTCCCCATCCTTCCTAGCCCTCTCCTGTGGTGCTGGGGAGCCCCAGGCCCCAGGAGCACAGAGTAGTCTGCCCTGGACCAGCACCTCACCTGAAGTTGGCCGCCATGGAGGAGTACCTTCCCTCTGTCCCTGCCAGGATCCCATCGGCCTTGTCTCCAGCCGTCATGACCATGTTCAAAGGCTCCCTGGAAACGGGACACATCAGTAAGACTCCCTGGGCCCCTCCCCATTTCTTCCCCTTCATCACCCTCATTCAACCAGGCCCTGTTTTGGGCTCTGGTTTCACAACTCCCAGGGAAGAGTCTGCGCCTCTCTGTAGCCAAGTACCCCGACAGCAGCCTGGTTCTGGCCCCATTCCGTGGGCCTCACACCCACTCCCTGCTCCATATCGGGAGCCTCTGGTCCCAGCTGGAGATTTGCAAATGACTTAGGGCTTGTGCCAGTGTCTACCCAGCCTCCCTCTCTGTTACATTCTGTCCTTAGCTCAGCCCCCAGGGCAGCCCCAGCAGCCTCAGTACCTGCCCCAGGTTTCCACCAGACTTTGGGGGGAGGGGAGCAGAGCAACCAGTCAGCAACCCTTAAAAGCTGAGCTGGAGCCAGTGGGAAAACGGAGCATTTCCAACATTAGCTCCTGGCCTCCTCCTCACTGCTGCAGAGTGGCCACGGGCCTGGCTTCCCAGAACTGCTCTCCCAGGATCAGGGATCCTTACCACAGCTCGTCTGTCCTTGGGCATCCCACAGGCCCCTCAGATGTAAGATGCCCCAAATTAAACTCAGCAGGTGCCCCCAGCACTGCCTCCTGTGTTCTGTGGCTCCATGAGTGGTCGGTCAGACGCCTGTTCTCCCTTCTGCCTGCCCTCGGCCCCATCCACCAACTTCTGACTCCTAAAGCTCTTAGACATGTCTCCTCCCTCCATCCCCTAGGCCTCCCCAACAGTCCAAACCTTGAACTCAGCCTTCTCACCCGAGACCGGCCCCTACCCCACACAGGCTCCAGGGGCAGCCAGACTGCTTCTGCTAAGGCACCATATCCTCCCAAGCCCAGCTTACAAACATTTCAATGAATTCCTCTTGAATTAAAGATAAAATCCAAAGTTCAGGGCATTGGTGTACGAGGGCTGCTTGGCCCGGATGCTGCCGCCATCATCTGCCTATCACAGGCCTCCCCACCCCTCCCTTGAACCATGGACCAGGCCACCTGCATGAGAGTGGGGCAGATGAAGCCTGGCCTTGGGACTGTGCAGCCTCCTGATGCCCCTGGGGGCCCACCTAACTCAGAATCCCCGAGCCTTTCCTCCCTCACTGCTCTTCCCATGCCACTTTCTGCTGTGACTGCTCCCCCTCAACCCTCAGGCTTCAGCATAAATGTACAGATGGAAGCCTGAGAGCCCCCAGGCCAGGCTAGCCTCGGGCTGTGCGCTGCGGTCTTCAGCACCAGTATTTGGCACCGCTCGGTCCATGGTTAGGAGCACAAGAGTATGTCTATCCCATCGCCACTCTATCCCCCCAGCAGGTGCCACAGCAGCTGACCCTCAAAAAGGACAGAATATGCTATGTCAGAGGTTCCCACAGCCCCAAAGACCAGGCTGCTATCCCAACTATAAAGATGCGAATTTAAGACTCTAAGAGAAGACTTTCCTCCAAGGTCCCAGTGCATGAGCACCAGAGTGGCGGGCCTGAGCCTGGGCCTCAGTGCTCCTTCCACACAGTAAGAGGCTGGGCTAGGGCTGCGGCAGAGGTCCTGGGGCCTGCCCTGCCGCCCCTGGTCCCAGGGCCTGGGACACTCACGGCTTTTCCTGGCACCAGAAGCGGTTGACAGCAAAGGCGATTGCAACGAGGACCAGGAACACAGCCACGGCGATAAGGCCCTGCATCCAGGGCTGCAAATTCCCCAGGCCTAGAAAGAGATAGAGGGGCTGCAGCAGGCCCAGCCACAGTGGGGCTGAGAGTGCAGAGCAGGGAAGGGAGCAGCCCCAGTCTGGGGCCTGTATTAGAGGTGATCAGCCGGCTGCCCAGACCAGAAGAAACTTTCTGGGGTAGCAAGAGGTGGGAAGGAGGATCCATCTGACACTCCCTTGCTGAGCTTAAGAAAGGGATGACTTGGAGGAAGGAAGAGAGGAAAGCAAAGAAGAAATGAGGAGCCAAGGTTAGCACAGACCTCAGAGTGCTGTGTCTGAGATCCCGGCAGCCCAGGGCCTCCTTCCCCAGCATGGTCATGTGCTGGGGCCCAGGAACCAAAGGGCAGCCAACAGCCAGCCTGAGTCCTGGGAATGGAGCTGACAAACACCCCACATACACACACCTCCTCCCAGATCTCAGCAGCTAGGGCAGCACAAAGCTGGCAGAACCCCGCCTGGCATCTGGAAGATCCTGTTCTGTAAGAGATTTCTCTGGTGCTGGGCAGAGCACAGGGGTGTGGGACTGCACAACTGCTCAGCTATAGCTGCCAGGGGTGCCCAAGGGGGCTGGGACAGAAAGTCTTTGAAAAAGCAAGGAAGAGGAAGGAACTCTTGGTCTTGGGGGCCCAGGAAAGAGGCTTCAAAATCTGAGGCCCTTTTCACCCCTCCAGCTCGGTGGCCAGGAAACTAGGCTTCTCCATGCTCCTTCTCTGCCTCTGGCCCTCCACATGGCCTCTAGCTCTCAGGGCTTCCCAGAAGTCTGTTATTACTTACTGGCAGCCCCAAAGGTCTCCCCTAGCCCCCCAACACCACTGTGCTCCGTGGGCCTGAGGGAACTCAGCCCTGAAGAGGACAGACACACAGCAGTAGAGGCCTGAGAGGGAACGGAAGCCTCAAGAGCCTCTGGGTCCTGCCTCCAGGCAAAACCCCTGCATTCCTAATGCTGGAGGGGAGCCAGGCTGGGCATCAAAAACCTCACTCTGCCTCACTCCCACTCAAAAGCCCTTCCTGTGTCTGCCCTAAAGCTCTCCTGCTGCAGGGCAGGCACTGCCCTTCTCTAGGCTGTCTGAGTCTGGAACCTCTTAGGGAGGAAGGTGGGACCCCAGGAACTCACAGGCAGACTGAGTTTATCCCCCCGGGTATCAGAAGTATAACACAGTGTGATTGCCCCAAGTTCCACACATGCCGAAGAGCGGTATTTGGGACTTTATGGCTCCAAGAACAATGTTTTTTTTTTTTCCCCAGGAACAATGGTTCAGACTCATTGTTTCCTCAGAGCAGTAGCTGCTCAAGGACTGGGAGACAGGGCTTAAGCCCTGGAAGGACCCTCCCTGCTTCCTCCAGACACACTACACTCCCCCACTCCTCTGCGGCTCTGGGGTGAACCCCTAGCGCCAGGGGCAGAGCCTCAGGCAGGGAAGAGGTGAGCAGAGCCCTGGCCCTTCTTGCTCTGCTGCATGACCCATGCAAGTTGTTCAACCCTCTGATCTTCACTTCCCAAAGGGTTTCCAAGACCTGGGAGAAGGTTGAAGCAGGTATGCTTGAGCGCTCAGAGCACCTGCAGAGGTGGCTTGTCTGGAAGCACCTTTGCCGGCACCTCTGGACCTAAATCGCACCTGCAAAGTCTCCAGACTTAGGCTGCAGAGGCGGGTTGCGATGCGGGGCAGGCACCAGATCCTGAGGTGTGGTGCTTCGCTGGTGCAGAGCCTGCTACGCCCTGACCTGACAGCCGCTGTGGGAGGGGTGCAGGGCGGGTTTATGGTCTTCATTTTATGGATGAGAAAATTGAGTGTCAGTGAGGGACAGTGATTTGCTCAAGGTCACAGCAAGATAGAAAAAGTGCTGGCCAAAGAGTTCGGGCAGCTGGTGGGGGCTGCACTGGGGCACTGGCCCTCACCCAAACCTAGGGAGCTGACACCAAACCATGGACGAATCTCTGACAGCACTGCTGTTCCCCTGCGTCAAGCCCACGCCCACCCTCCGTAGAGTCCCTGACCCACATCTTCAGGCTCAGCCACCTCCAGGGCAAGTCCTGCTCTGAGAGCTTGAATGTCAACTCCTCTCCCAAGTCCAAGACCCAACCTCTTCCCTGCTGCCCACGCTTCTCACTTGAGGAAAGCAAGTCACAGACAGCAGCCTGGCCCTGAGGTCTCTGCCTTTAGAGGCTCCTCCTGTCTGCCCATTCCCTGCTTCTCCCGCCCCAAACTATGGTATCAGGGATAGTGAGAGAGGCCAGGATACCACCCCTGGGTCCGCCGGCCCCAGCCTGCCCAGCCCTCTCCTCACCACAGCCACCGGGGCTAGCCCTGCCTGTGCTACCTTGTTGACAGCTGGCAGGTGGCACTGTCACCAGCAGGCTCAGAGTGACCAGACGGAGGGCTGACATGGCTGCGGGGCGCTCCTGGGTCTTCCCTCTGGTGGCTGGGATCTGGCTCCTGAAGCTGCTGTGGGGTCTGTCAGGGTGCGCCTGAGAGCAGCCCAGCTCAGTCCAGCCCTGGAAGAGAGGAGGTAGCGAGGAAGAAGGCAAGGGAGGAAGGAGGGGGAAGGTGGAGAGAAACTGCCCTCCCTCCCATGGTAATGAGCTGCCAGGCCTGGCCTCCCCTGGCTGGTGGCCAGCCCACAGGTCATCTTTCAGAGGCAGGCTAAGGAAGTGGAAAGAGAACAGGGAGATGCAGTGAGGGCGTGAGGGCAGGCCTCACCTCCAAACCTCAGCCTCCCAGGGGTTTCTGTGTCAACTCCCCTTCCTGGCAGTTGGGGCTGGGAAAAGGAGTGACACATTATTGCTCCTGCCTTGACTGAGTCTGGTGGGAGGAGCCTCTTGGAAGGCAAATAATGGAGTTAAGAAATTTGCCGGTGTGGGGAAAACCCCAGATGCTCAGGAAGGTCAAATCTTCCTCCCCCTCACCCTGAGCCTGCCCTGTTTCCTTCTCTCCTCACCTGTCCCTACTCAGGCAAGCCAGACCCTGGGCCTCAGACCTGGGAAACAGCCCTGGCTTCTAGCCTTCTATTCCTTGGGTGGGGGCATCTCCAACCAAAGATGGGATGTCTCCAAGGGGTACTTGCCTTGATGTTGAGAGATGCCTCCCCTACCTGTTCTCCCTTCCTGCCCCAACTTAATGTCATAGCTCTCTAAATCCACCTACTCCTTGCAGATAACAACAGAGGCCTGAGTGTCCCAATACCCAGCCTTCCCTATCGAGCCCCACTGACTTGAGTCCAGGTCAACTCTCCCTCTTGGCCCCAGATATGGTCCCTGGAGACTAGCCTAGTTCCTGGGCTTAGTCAGAGGCCTGTACACAAAGCTTCTGATCACCACCCATCACAGGCAGAAAGCGGATGAACAGAACCAGGCTGTGGAGGGCAAAGGAAGGACACCCCTGAAAGGCAAGGTCCAACCTGGTACCGTTAACCCCTAGGATCACATGCAGTCCCCTGGGCCCTCCACTCTAGGCACTGAGAATGTCCCAGGCACCTCTTGGAGCTGGTGATGCTGGCTTTTCATGCCCCCTACCCCCACGACTATGGGAGGCCAGAGATGCCGAGTCTGCCTCCTTCAAAGGCACCAAGAAAGGAGCCAGCAGACCAGGGGCCTTTAAAGGATCAGAGGTGGGTGGTCCCCAGAAGCCTGAACAGGAAACCCCTCAACAACCTCCCTGCCCAAGGGCCTCCCGGGCGGGCAACAGCACTTTCTATTGCAGGATGGTTCAGACAGTTTTGTCCCTGCTCCCTCTATGTGTCAAGTGTGTGTGCATATGGGTATGGGGGGAGGGGGGTGGTGTCTGGCATTTCCATCCAAAGATGGCATGTCTCCAAGGGGAACTTGCTGTTCAGTTGAGGGATGCCTCCCCTACCTGTTCTCCCTCCCTGTCCCAACTTGGTGTCCTCAGAATCTTCTGGCACAATGTTTGGCTAGAGTAGGCACTTTGTGTGTTAATGAACAGCCAGGGAATCACTGATTGGAATGCATGGAATGGGGTTGGATTTAACAAACATCCACTTATGCCCTCTTGGAGGGCTTTAAGCAACGGAATCACATGGTCAGATTTGCATTTGAGAAAACCCCTCTGGACACAGAGTAGAGAATGAAAGGGGAATTCAAAGACTAGAGAACAAAAGCAAACATAAACAATGGGACTACATCAAACTAAAAGCATCTGCAAGGGAAAGAAACCATCATGAAAACAAAAAGGCAACCTACTGAATGAAAGAAGTTACTTGAAAATCACAGCTCCAGTGAGAGGTTAATAGTTAAATACATTAGAAACTCTAAAACTTAAAGACAGCAACAAAAACAATCTGATTAAAAAATGAGCAGAGAATCTGAATAGATGCTGCCCCAAAGAAGACATGCAGATGGCAACAGGCTCACAAACAAGCGTTCATCATCTCTTATTATTAGGGAAATGCAAATCAAAACCACAATGAGGTACTACCGCACACCTGTGAGAATGTCTGTTATCAAAAGACCAGAAACAACAAGTGTAGGGGAGGATGATGAGAGAGAGACCCTGTACACTGTTGGTAGGACTATAAACTGGTGCAACATGCATGCAGGTCCTCAAAATGTTAAGAAAAGAAATACCATAAGATGGGGCCTCCCCTGGTGGCGCAGCAGTTGAGCGCTGGGCTGCGAAGCCTCTGCAGCACTGGTTTGATCCCTGGCCGCCGGCGAGGGTCCCACATGGCGCGCAGACCTCTCCTGCTGCCGCCCGCTGCTCCCCTCAGCAGTGTCCTTCGGTCCTTCTGCCTGCTCTGCTCCCCGCTCTGGCTCTGGTGAATTCTCTCACCCTCCCGCGCTTCTGACTGTACCCAGTGCTTGTATAAATAAATAAATAAATAAATCTTTAAAAAAAAAAAAAAGAAATACCATAAGATGAGCTATTCCGCTCTGCATACTTATCCAAAGCACACAAAAACACTAATGCAAAAATACATTGGGGCCTCCCTCGTGGTGAAGGGGTTAAAGACAGCACTATCAAGCTATGGACAGCCACAGCAGCACGAGTTCGATCCCCAGCCAGGGAGCTAACCCACATGGTGCAGTAGACCTCTCCTGTCTCGCCCACTGCTCCCCTCAGCAGTGTATTTCGGTAGATCTGCCTGTTCTGCTCCCCACTCTGTCTCTGGTGAATCCTCTCACCCTCCCAGCACTTTTGGCCTGCACCCCAGCTCTTGTATGCATAAATAATTCTTTAAAAAAATATGCATTCACCCCAAGTTCACTGCAGCATTGACAATAACAAAGATATGAAAACAGCCCAAGTATTCATGAGCAGATGAGTAAATAAAGAAGACTTGGTCCCTATACTCAGTGGCAGGTATATATTTTTTAAAAAATGAAATCGAGCCATTTGCAACAACACGGTTGGAACTAGGGGGCATTGTGATAAGTGAAATACGACAAAGAGAAATGCCGATGATTTTACTCATAAGTGAGACAAACAAAGCACATGAACAAACAAAACAGAGCAAAGCAAACTCACAGGTACAGAGCAGACAGGAGATCCCAGGAGGGAAGGAGACATGGGCGGGTGAGACAAGGGAAGGGTCAAATGTGTGGCGGTGGCTGGAAATGGCTGGAAATGGCTTTTGGCAGGGAGCATGAGGTCGAGGTCCTGTTTACAGATGCCGAATTACACATCTGATGATGATATAATGTTACAAACCAATGTTACCTCAATAGAAATAATGTAAAAAAAATTCTAAAAACAAGACTGGAGAGAGACTCAGGAGAGTGACACCCCAGGAGCTGCTGCAGCAGCCACACAACCCAGCTGTGGCCTGGAACGAGGGAGTGGCCGTGGGAATGGCCTTGGGCCCTGTTAGGAGGTAACAGAGACAGGACTTGGTGGCTGGAACACAGTGACCAGCGGCCAGTGGTAGAGAGACAGGCAGGTGCCAACTAGGGGTTCTGCCTCCGGTCACTGGGGGTTAGTTGGTAGTTTTGGGAGATGGTGATGAGTGACAGGCTTAGATATATTGTGCCTGGGTATTTGGTGTTCTTGGGATGCCTGGGGACCACCAGATGGAAATGTCCAGCAGGCAGTGGGAGCTGGGTCTGGAGTGTATGATCTCCCCTGGGTGTGGGGTGGGGTGGCAAGAGGAGAGGAGGGAAAGAAGGGAAGCTGGAGAGACCAGCTTGGTCCCAACAAGGAAGGATCTTTCCAAAGAAGAGTCCAGATGGAGGCGGAGGAAAAAACTTCAAAAGACCTGGTTGTCCCAGTAACCCAGGAAAGAGTAATCCAAGAAAGGATGCACAGGGAAATCACAGTTGTGACCCCCACACACACAGCCAGTGGCCCCAAGAGCAGCCCAGCCTCTCCCAACAGTCTCCGAGTCACAGGTTCTGCCTCCCTCAGCCAAGGATCTCTCCCCTTACCCAAAGATCCTGGGGAAGGACAAGGACTCCCTGGGCTCTGCTGGGGGTAGTGAGGGAGGAGTGGTGAGCAGGAAGGACATCAGGTGACCAGCAGGAGGAAAACACACCTCCCAGGTCAAAGTCCCAAGCTTTAGAGCAAAACAAGTTGTTCCGGAAAAGGGGGTGTGGGTGGACACTTGGCTTTGAGGCTGGACCCTGCTCCCTGGGTGTCCTCATCCAGCTGAGGGGGTCATCTCCTCAGCTGTATGGACATAGCCCTGGGTTCCCATGGAACCAAGTTGGTCTGGCTTGGGCCCAAGATTGAGACACAGGCCTCAGCTTCCCCGCAGGGCTAAACCCTGTGTCCTCATCCATGAGCAACTGTTCCATCAACACTCAATTCCTCCTTCCTGTTCCCAGCCAAATTCTGCCATCCTAAATCATCAGGCCCCTTGGGCAGGTCTCCATCTAGTCAGATACCATGGGGATAAGCATCCGGAAAAGTCAATCCCTTCTCCCCACTCCATCTCGCCTGCCATTCAAGTTATTGCCAGCAGGTGGCAGCGCAAAGTCCAGGCTGATTGAGATGGGCAAGGAAACCAATCTGCAGTCGAAGATTCTGCAACTTCTGTTCCCTCCAGCCCCCCACTTCTATCTTCTCCCAGGGGTGGCTTGAAGAAAAAGGGGAACATTGACACTGTAAACAGACATGCTCACAGGGATGCTGGAACAGTGTCCATGGCATGCTCAGAGCTGTGATGTAGGAAAGTGTGGAAAACTGGATTGTTAAAGAGGGCATCTCGGAGGAAGTGATTCTAGGGGAAAAAATAGCATAACTGTTGGGTTGAGCAGAAAGACAGCTCAGGGAAGGCATCCAACCTGAGGAAAAACAAGGAGACACATTCAAGAAGAGTGTTTAGAGCAGACAAAAACTTTTCCACTGATTCTTCTAATATTCCATCTTCTTGATGTGTTTATTTGCTGTAAACCCGAGAATTCCTGTAGAGCTTGTTCTATTCATTTAGAAAGATCCTGCTTAAACCCTTCAAGGATTTCCAAAAGCTCTTCCGATGGCATGCAAATTCTAAGTATCGGTTTGATGACCTAACAGCATGTGACATGACAACCTCATCTGGCCCCATGCCCTCACAGCTCTTCCCCTCCAGTTCGCCTGAAGGACTCTAA